TTACATTTATTTGTTTATACTGCCCACTAATGTTACATTTATTTCTGTCTTCGGAGTCTGCTTTTTCCTCTAAAAAAAATTATTGGACGGTCTACGTAAGATTAGGGCCCTACACCCTAGGTCCAGAGGTTTCTCTGCAAGAGGAGCCCTTTTCAATTACGTGCGCAAAAATGCACGCCTCACTCTTATTTTATGGGAAAAAGTATTTCTTTACGGCCACTCGCGGCATTTATGACAAATGTGTAATATAATGACGTCAAAATATTGACGAACGGGGGCGCAAACCGCTGACCTCCCACCTCGGAGGCGAGCGTTTTACCCCTGAGCTGCAACTGAAGACGAAAGGTTGCGATATAATTGGTAATACATAAGTGCAATTGAAGTTCTCTCTTTCTCCACCAGAGCTGAGAGCATACACGCATCGGTGTCACGCTCCCGCTTACTGATGATCTGCGGCAGGATTTTCTGTAAGTCTAGCCTTCCGGGCCAAGAGTGAATCTCTGCTAAACTCAAACGCCATTCTTGATCCGCCTTGCCCGATCCTGAGAAAATTTCACTCGTTTAGGAAAGTTGTGCTAAAAGCGGTAAGAAAACATTAATTTCCCCCCTTCTAGTTACTGAGTGCCGTGTTGATTAGTCTAAAGGCAATTAAAATTCCTTTCAGGAGACAGATCTATGGCATCGGGTGGGTGTCCTACTGTGCGCCTGCACTGACACCGATCGGACACATCCCCCTCTCACAATTCTATCCGTTTAGAATCAGTGTAAAATAAGTCGGCGGTTGTTTAATTTTTACTGTCATCTGCTGTAGATATTATCAGCTGTATTCTTCTGGAGGAAGATATCCCTGCACAATCGTAGCATGACATTATTGCCACTCCTGGTCAATCCTTGATTGTTATTGGACGGTGGCAGCACCATCTCCTGCAAATGAAGAGCTAAAGACTGTCTATTTATCTGATATGCGATTTACTACTAGTTTTAGAAGAGAAGTTAGGAATTTCAAGATAAGGACAGCCACGACCAGAAACCCTGTTCTGCTGATGTCCCGTAGAGCTGTGAGATCTTAACTCACTGACAACAGTCTTAAACTGGCTGACTGATGATGTGTTTTCTCATGTACATCCGGATATCCATCCGTCTGTCTCTTAAGCCTGATGCCATTTAAATATTCAGTATGTGATGACAGCAATACTTTTGCCATCCTCTTGCAATCGAAAGCTGTGTCGTCGAAGTAAACTGCTCGGGACTGTTTGCAGACGGAACTACCCGATTCCAAACGGTCAGCCAACTGATGACTTGTGTGTTTATATGCGATTGCCCAAAATTTCTACTAAACACTCTGCGATCTCGAGAGGCCAATGGTGACTATTGGGTTGCGTTCGCAAACTGAAGAACAGAACGCAACGGAGTCAGTTAAGTTTCTGATTACCTGGTAGGTAGGTTTGGTCGTATGCAGAAACATGTGGTGTTTCCTGATTACTTCTCTTTGCAAGCAATTCATCTAGGGTAGATCATTCTTCTTAAATCAATCACCAAAACTAATTTCTGATGAAATAGCACACAAGAACAATGACAATTATTGCCTACAGTGGAGAATTTGCACAAAAAAATCATATTGCTTCATCTGAGAGTGCTTAATGAGCTGAGTTAGCAGTAATTTTCAAAATTTTTTTCTGAAATGGGATAAAGTAGAAAGAACAATGTTAAAGTGAGAGAATGTGCCGCCTTGTGACGTCATCTGGCAGCATTTTCCATTTAAACGCGCGTATTTTAGCAAAGTAGGTTATTCTGTCATATTTTCTCCAATTGTTTAATTTAGAAACCAAGGATATCCTTGTGCTCAGTTTTCTTAGCAGTCTCGTGTTAAACTTGAGACTTACAACATTTCAGACACCTGCAAAATCTCCATTACTTAAGTAAGTATTATCAAAAGCGACATCTGATGTCCATGCAGGTTAGTTTTTCAATGGATCGTATTAATGTATCGTTTCCTTCAAAACAAACCTCAAACAAAAATTTTAGGATATTTGTCAGAGAAGCTGAAAATGAAAAATTTCGCAGCAATTTCACTTGGTACTCTTGGCCGATATGCACTCATCTAAATGAAAAATCTATCACAAAAAACCCGTCCCATCAATTGACTGTGGCTATGTTTTATGTCTTGAACCAATCGATATCCATACGATCTCACCCGTTTGATGTATCGACTATGATCTATGGTGTCCTATGGTGAAACAATTGCTTTTTTCCATTAATAAAAGGTTTTTGATTGGGTTTTAGCACCATGTCAGATGAGGAGGATGGTCTAGATGTCCTTAACATTAAACCTCCACAAGCAGTCATTGCTAAGCCATCGCGGAGCAAACACAGTGATCGTCTTTATCATTCCAGGGTAAGTTTGATCTATTTATCTTTAATCATAATAAAACGTATATTTCATCTTTGCTGGCTAAACTAAGAATACATGATTATAATTGGAAGCCATTTATTCCAAAATTTGAGAGTTTTCTATTAATGGGTAAGTATAGAGTACTTACATAGAGTCATAATGTAAGTGCGAGAGCCGGCACCACTTTTAAGCATTTTCCAGGTCCTGAATTCCAAGACTCCTGGGTCACGCCAGGTCACCTTTTCAAAACATAATCGATTCTTTTCGATACATGGGGACCTGGTTATCCAATGTAAGCAAAGAAGATAGGAATAACTGTGTATTCTACACCACCATTGTAGATCAAACATGTATGGAAGAAGGGGCCAAAGCTCGGCGCACACCAGGTTCGGAACTCGTCGACCGGAACATGGCACCACCTCTCCCATTTTCGTCACGACTCCATGTACTGTATGGTGGGTCAGCCATGGCAGTTAGTAAATCTTGTCTTGATTGTTCTATCTTACAGATCAGTAGAACTCACAGATGATTATTTTTTGTGGGGAGGGGGAAGATGTACCTGGGATGTAGGTAAGTGAGAAATGTTGAATCTTGGTCTGTTAGTAGGATAATATAATTGAAGGTATGCTTCTTTGCTACAGACTATCCGCAAGCGACGAAATGCTCTGTTCCGTTTTAGATCAGTCTAGGCATGAAGTTTGAAATGTACGCCGATTTTTTCATTCTATTCTTATTGGTTCAATTGCGCCCGGCCAGAGGGATATTGGACAAGTGAGAGTCGGGTATGAAAATCTTTTCATTTTTCTGGTTGTTCTTTTGTCGGCGCACCTAAAAGAGCGCGGAACTTCCTCGGGGGGTTGGGCCACGTAGCAGCCAAGAGCGAGAGATATAGCCCCTTGGTAGTCCTCTTTTTGGCAGCTTTTATTACAAAGTTATAAAAGGCTCAGGACTAATCACATTGAGAAAAATCAGAAACTGAATTGTCGCCTTTGAGAATGGAGAGGCTGTAACTACAGTTCTGTGATGTCTTGCCAGTGGATGAAACTTGACCACAGTTCAACATGTGTTCTCATAGGAGAACACATGGCGCATGTTCCCTCTGTGCCAATATCTTTTTAGAGGTTGATCTGGTGCATTTCATAGGAAACTTTTCGAAAAGGCAAGAAACTTCACTTCAACAAACTGACCAGTCCATAAATGACATCGACTGTTATTTGGAGAAATGAAAGATAAATACCTAAAATCGTTACTCCATGAAGATTCCAATGAACCACCTATGCAGATTTAGCCGATGGAGGGCAACTCTCGTTGGTTAACATGGCAACTGCTTCAGTGCCTCACTCATTGATGCTCCGATTCCGGTAAATATCCACTAGTTCAGGGTTGTCATTTCCAAAAATTATAAAGAAGACAGGCTGAGCCGAAAAAGAGGAATTTTATAAGTCAAAAAGAGGACATGTGGTAAAAAAAGAAGATATCTGCATGTCACTTATAAGTCGGCCTCAAAATTTCGTACTTTTTTCCCTATTTTTTCTCTTTCAGGTGTATATGTACCCTCTGCGCGGAAAATTAAAAAAAAGTATACCCAAAGATATGTTTTTTTGATCCACTGTTCATAAGCAGAAATGAATCTGAAGGTAGACTGTTTTTCTCCTTGGTGATGTCTTGACTGTCATCAGTTAACTTTTTACAGATCGGAAAATGAATTTGAGAGGTAAGGTATTCTTTAAATTTTGGAAGATTTTAAACTCTCAATTTTTAAACTTAAGATACTTTACTCCGGAAATCTGAAATTCATATCTGAATATTGATCTGTGAAAAGTTAAGTGCTCATGACATGCCAAGGAGCGTGTAACATTGAGTTTCCTCAGCTTAATTTTTGAACAGAAGACCGAAAAGGCACTTATTCATTCTTATTTCTTCATATGCTTAGAACAAATGCCAAGGAACGATTCTGAATGTTACCGACAATTCATAGAAGAACAAAAGCAAGAGCGACAGTAACGCTACTACGGCAAAATAGTCAGGCAGCAAAAGAGTGAATCTGAACCTACATAGAGCAAAAAATTGTAAATATGAAAAGATCCTTAAAAAATCCACAGAAACCTGGACATTACCGCATGTTTTAAGAACTTCCCCAGACTCCCCAGGCAGAGTGCTGAAACGAGGGCATGTCCGGGTAAACGAGGATGGATGGCAACCCTACTAGTCTGACATCACAAAACTGAGTAGTCATGGTTTCCTCTCTCTTGTTGGTAATGACTGAATCTGTTGTTTTTCTGGTAGGTATGTGCAGCTTCTAAATGCAAGCATGCTCTACCACTCTACGATTTAGGTGGACAGCAGGGCTGCATACCTTTCTGCGTACTCTTTCCACTGCTCTCCTACCTCCAGTTCTCACTCCTTGATCATCCCCTCTGCCACTTCTCCTCAAGTGGGCAAAGAACTTTTCTCTTCTCATGGATGAAGATTCTTTGGCTTTGAAGTCTACCTACTAAAACATAAAATTGTCCATGTTAACATGCCTAATTAAGAAAGCGGGAAATACATAAAAGAAGATAATCCCTTCCTTTGACTGTGTTACATAACATGATCCTTTTAACTAGACTTTTTGACCTACTGTAGTGTTTGCCTGTCTACAATTGATGAAACAGAATCTAGAGGGTTGGACTGATACTTTGGGAATTCATTTTTTTGCTTAAAAATTAGTTTTGCTTTTTCATATTCAGTTCATATTTCATGGGCTGCCCTCTCTGGCCGTTTCCTTCATTGGTCTAATATTACCTGAAAGAAAGCAGCGAAATATGCAGGGACACTTTTTGACCCTATTTCAATTATGCAAACTCAGCTAATTGCAAAGTGTATAAAAAAACATCTCGTACAATTCCAATAAATGATAGCCTTTATCAGTTTTATTCCCCTCCTATTTTCAGTCTTCATCATCATCCTCACAGCGGAAGAGCCATCACCGTGGTCATCACCATGAAGAAAGGAGAAGGAGGCACAGGTAATGATTCATTTTAAAAAGTAAAAAGTACAAGACAAATAATGAGCTCTACTTAATTGATTTAATCATATAATTGTCGTAATTTTTGGCAGAAGACTTTTTCATCAACTCAAGGCTATAAATGAAGAGTTTGCCGTTTGTACAAGGTACCCTGTTTTGAGGAAAACGCATTTGAAGTTTTCATTTTTATGCCACGACCTTCTATGATGATGATAGGGCAAACTGACACCATGTTTCTTTTGTCAACGTATACTAGACTGAAAATCGACCAAAACCTTCATTTCAAACTGCTTAGAATCCTTGCAACATGAGAAAATGTAAGCCCTACTGATACGCCCCTTTACTGGCAATCTAGTACAATTTCTTATATAGAGTCTGTGGAACGGTCTGATAATATTTGTTTCTATTCCTAGCCTTAAATTTTGTTACTGATTGGCTTATTCCTAGCCTTAAATTTTGTTACTGATTGGCTAAACTAGTGTTTTGGACGGTCAGATTTGACAACAGTTCATTGTAAGGAAATGTAAATGAAATGATAATGAAGAAGTTGCCATATAATGTTGTATTTTTTCTATTCTTCATTTTTGATAATGTCAATCGAGCAAATACTTATAATATTTTTACTTAAAGAAGTTAGAAATATATTTTTGGATCATACGCATATGATGAGAAATTTTGAACGGCAGGGCTAGCTGAAGCCTTCCTTTGAAAGCTATCTTAGAAAGCATCGAACCTTTCAGATACCTTACCATGTGTCCAAAATGCATAGATGGTTGCACCAGTGTTTTTTAGAAGTATCCGCAAAGAGGATATTTGTGTGAGACAACTTGAAAAGACTGTGTCTTGTAGTTCTTTGCTTTTTTTCATGGTAAAAACATCCAGATTTTTCCAGTTCTTCGAGCTGTTTCTAGAAATTTTCCTCTGCATCGTTTTGAGTAGCAACTAGCATTAACTCGGGCAAATTTTTACTGTATCTTTATTTTCCGAACCACGTGTTAGTATCTGCATATGGCTACAATCTTTTTACCTGCATCAAGTCTTTCCTTTGAATTCTCGTCATTTATAAGACTTTCCGAAGTAAGTTGTTTAGACGATGAAGAATTGGGAGAAGAATAACTTATCCTGAAGTCGTTCTACAGGAGTGATACAAGTACAACTATTGTCATCAATGGTCTGATTGTCACTACTTATAAGATTTTCCCAGATATATCAACGGCAATCGCTGTGGGGCATGGTGATCATGCAATGAGAAATCTTATATTAATCAAATATCAGTGATGCGCTGCAGCACGCATCCACTGACCAAAAAGTGAAAAAAACCCGTTTAAAATGGCTACCAAAAAGTGATGAAGTTGACTCTTCAACAATTGCTGAATGAAGAAATTGTTTCAGAATGGAACAAATTAACCTCCGAAAACTTCTGAGAAAACGTCAACACTCATTCTGTCAATGCTATTCAGAATGTGATTCAATCGCACACTGCACTCTTTTCTCCTTGCAACTGTTTCTTTCCAATGGCTCATCATATAGTCAAGGTTTTTGGTGAGGCAGCATTTCCTGCAGATAATGAACTTCATTTTAAGAAAATTTGCCTGAAGTTTACCTCAAATTTGTCTCCCTCTTTTGAAGTGTTGTGAAGGATACAGCGAATGATGCGTTCCAAATTCATCAAATAAATTTATCGGACTAAAGGAGGAGTATCGTTTTGGGCCTTTTCCGGCCCCACCTGGATTTTGCTAAATGTTTCATATTTTCAAAGTACTAGTCTTAGGTAGACTCTGTGTTAAATATTAGACCGAACGGAGCCCATGCAAGGGCGCAGCAGCGCCTCAAACCCAAAATCCTGGAATCGAAAAATAATTATTTTCGTCGACTTTTTCGACTGTTATCACTCTTCCAGCAGATGATTCCTATGTATTTTTTTGCATACTTTCCGTTTCTAGCCTTTTTAAATGCCTCTGATAAATTTTAAGGGACCTTATGGCCCATTGTTGCCATTTTTGGTCCATTTTTAGGGTTTTTTTCCATTTAACACATTCAAAACTTAATTTAATCCAAAAACTGTGTACACTTTTGAAAAGTACGTAAAAAAATGAATAAAAAATGTTCAGTAAAATTTTTTCCTATGTTGCCAAATTTCCGAGAAAATTGGTCCCAAAGTGTCAAAAACGTCAAAAAATCGATAAATCGCCGCGCCTAAGGTTCAAGAAAAGGGAGTACAACTTTCATATTGTACCAGGTAACAGCTCTTATCCATCCATACAACATATTAAAATATCATAGTTGTACCTGGATTCCCACGATGTGAAAATTGACAGAGATGTCGATTTTAGCGGCCTTTTTATACTTGAAGGCAGCTCTTTTGAATGTTTTTCGACCTTAGTCACCCTCTATGGCTGTGTACTACATGTATTTTTCTACGTACTTTTCATATCTGGCCATAAAAATGGCTTCCTGTGAATTTTAAAAGGCCTAACGGTCCATTGTTACCAATTTTCACCAATTTTTAGGGGTTTTTTCAAGTTTACATGTGTGAAACTTAATTTAATCTAGAAACCGTGTACAATTTTGGAAAGAACGTAAAAAAATACATAAAAATGTGATTTGTACCTTTTCCCTACGTTGCCAAATTTTCGAGAGAAATCGTCTTGAAGCGCCAAAAATGCCATAAATTGGATTAATCATCACGTCGGAGGTTCCAGGAAGTGAATTATGACATTCATGTGGATCGTGGGACACTTTCTCCACGCATTTTCTGTTGTTCGGTATATTTGGCCTGTAGCAAGCATCTTGAGAACCGAGGATTATCTCGAAGTTACAGGAATAAAGAGGTGAACTGGAATGAAGGATAAAGTAAAAGCACCTTGAGGGCCCGTTTTGTCACGTTCATCTGCGCCATTACATGTTCCTTGAGATGCATTGCAATTTTCCATTTTCGATACGTTATTTGTAGTGGAAGAAAACTTGAAATTCACTTCCTGGAACCTTCGACGTGATGATTAATCCAATTTTTGGCATTTTTGGCGCTTCAGGATGATTTTTCTCGAAAATTTGGCAACGTGGGGATAAGGTACAAATCACATTTTTATGTATTTTTTTACGTTCTTTCCAAAATTGTACACGGTTTCTAGATTAAATTAAGTTTCACACATGTAAACTTGAAAAAACCCCTAAAAATTGGTGAAAATTGGTAACAATGGACCGTTAGGCCTTTTAAAATTCCCAGGAAGCCATTTTTATGGCCAGATATGAAAAGTACGTAGAAAAATACATATAGTACACAGCCATAGAGGGTGACTAAGGTCGAAAAACATTCAAAAGAGCTTCCTTCAAGTATAAAAAGGCCGCTAAAATCGACATCTCGGTCAATTTTCACATCGTGGGAATCCAGGTACAACTATGATATTTTAATATGTTGTATGGATGGATAAGAGCTGTTACCTGGTACAATATGAAAGTTGTACTCCCCTTTCTTGAACCTTAGGCGCGGCGATTTATCGATTTTTTGACGTTTTTGACACTTTGGGACCAATTTTCTCGGAAATTTGGCAACATAGGAAAAAATTTTACTGAACATTTTTTATTCATTTTTTTACGTACTTTTCAAAAGTGTACACAGTTTTTGGATTAAATTAAGTTTTGAATGTGTTAAATGGAAAAAAACCCTAAAAATGGGCCAAAAATGGCAACAATGGGCCATAAGGTCCCTTAAAATTTATCGGAGGCATTTAAAAAGGCTAGAAACGGAAAGTATGCCAAAAAATACATAGGAATCATCTGCTGGAAGAGTGAAATCAGTCGAAAAAGTCGACGAAAATAATTATTTTTCGATTCCAGGATTTTGGGTTTGAGGCGCTGCTGCGCCCTTGCATGGGCTCCGTTCGGTCTAATATTTAACACAGAGTCTACCTAAGACTAGTACTTTGAAAATATGAAACATTTAGCAAAATCCAGGTGGGGCCGGAAAAGGCCCAAAACGATACTCCTCCTTTCTGAAATATATCTGCAATTTCCACTGTCCGAACTACTTGATATTCTCAGATGTTTACGGCAACTGGAGTCACGAAGAACCTTTTCCCGGAAATACCCGCAAGTTCCACCGGCATTGTGGCTTTAAGATTACAGCCAAGCAAAATATTAGGATGAATTAGTTTAGAACTTCACTTCATTGTTATTGTAAAACATAGAAAATGCGACAATATCACCAGAGTAGATGGAAGAATTAATCAACCAGCACACATATCACACTAGTATCAGCAAAACCAGAGGTTCAAACAGTTCCGATATCCAACTAAGGACGCACAGAAGAACGTTTTAAACTTTATATTTTGAAACTTCTAATTCAAGTGCTTTTCTAAAAATTATAATTTTCAAATTTGACCTTTTTACCCGTTTCCAGCAGGCTATATGTCGACAACAATGTCAATAGATCAGCTGTTCTCCAGGCTGAGCCTTATTGCATCCTTTCAGTTAGTTATCCATTATCTCTCTAACTATTTACATCTAGTGAGTATTTATTCTTGTTTTATGGAACAACCTCACATCACCCTATGCCTCAATCATTGTTTATATTAAATTGGCTCAAAAATTTTAATTTTTGGTATCTAAATTTTTCACAGGGAAAAAGATGCAGAACAAAAAGAACTTTTCCTGCAACAACAGTCCTTAGAAATATACCCAGCAGTGCGAAGGCGACAGCATGATGAATCCAGGGATTCTCATCGTAGTCGCCATGAACAGCGAAGAGAAAGAAGAGAAGAGAAGGAATCCAGGAAAGAACAAGAAAGATTGTTCAGGAACAAAGAATTGGAACGAGACAGGGAAAGAGATCTCAGAAACCGTGAAGAAGAAGAAGAAAGATTCATGCGAACAGAAAGAGCCAGGAATGAATCTGCTGAGCTAAAATTATTAAAATTGAAGGTATGTCAACAAAATAGATGGAAGCAGCTCCTGTAATTGAATCGTAACTATCATCATTAAGAAGGCACTGGGTATTGAATCGATACTCAATTTTACTGCACTGTGATATGGAAAAATTCCTTTTAGACAGAAGATATTACAGTACATTTGACTAAATGATTTTACCACCTAGTCACTTTACAGTAATTCATTGAAATTAAAATTCATCTATCTTCTATTCACATCAAGAGGCTGTAGATTATCCTCCGGAGATCTGAATCATTAAAAAATGGGCAAAAATAAGGACCCGCATTTTTTTTTAACTGCCAATGCCCAACCGTTTTCGAATTATGCATTTTTAAGGTTGCCATATTTTTTTTTATATTAGCAAGGTGCTTGAATTCATCTTACTGTGCTCATAATACCATCTAGTTGGCCCTCCTTTCATGGCACCTTGCTGGTGCAGTTGGAGTTCACTTACTTTTTGATCACACGGTGAGTGGGTTGCATCCTGACTTCAGTTATACTTTTTGTTACCGGTCTTTTTAAGAAAAGTTAGGTACACCAGAAAAAAGGCTATCATCATTTCACTGGCTTTCTTTATTTTACCTTCTCTTTCACGTATAAAATTTTCAAACTAAGCTTTTTGCCTTTCATGAGATTACGCTTGACCGCTGGCTTCCTTTCCTTCCATCATCAAGCATTCTTCAGTACCTCCAAACCCTTACCCATTAGGTGCCTGGCACATCTCTTGGAGGGCTCCTCAAAGTTTTACTTCTTGTGCTTTTTCAGTTTATGTCCTATTTAGAACCGTGCGAATAGTGAATTGGAATACTTTTATGAATTACTCGCGGATACGAATCGTAAAACGAATACTTTAAGTCAATTATTCACAACTGCGAACAGTAAAATGATTAATTTAAGTCAATTATTTACAACCACGAATAGTACCACAATCAATTTAAAATGACTTTGTAAAGCGCAAAAATTTGCAAATATTACAAAAGTTGAAAAGTAAGTGTAATTAATTTTAAATCCTCTTCAGATTCTGTTTGGAATACGAAAGCCTGTTTTGAATCGTATTGTTTACATTTTCAACTAATATTATGATTTTGAAAATTTATTTTATCGATTATTAATTGAATAATTGATTATCAATAATTAATATCACGTAGATATTATCTCACACCCTCTTTCCGTCTTGGTTATCTGACTTTCAATGTGTGGTACTCTTAGAGCAACCAAGATACACGGGCCAATCGCAATCGCGCGTGCTTCTCGAAAACTCGGCAAAGTCGGTAAAGCTCAAGGGAGATCCGCCGTTTCCGATGTCTTGGATGGAAGCCTTGCGCGGGTCCTTGCAACGTTTCACGATTCCCACTCAGAAAGTCGTGATTTTTGACGGCGCGAATTTTTGAAAATTCGTTATCCGTGACGGCACAAATTTTTGAAAATTCGTTATTCGTGGCGGCGCGAATATTTGAAAATGTCGGTTCGAAAATTCACTGTTTGCGACGATGCAAAAATTCGCAATTTGAGAATAGCGCGCGAGTCAGACAAAGCGAATATTCGCACAGCTCTAGTCCCATTTCTATGGAATTTCAAGTAATCATAAGGTGACAAATTAATGTCCTAAACTTACTTCTCAGGCTCCGAGTCCCTTCTCGACTGTTGGATTGTTGTCACGTAGGAATAGGAAAGTTTTCTGAAATGTCCCTAGGAAGCTAGGACGTCAACATGTTTGCAGAAGAATTTTCCCTTCCTTAGATTTCAAGTGTTTTTATGCAACTATTAGTATTTTGTAAATACTGAGAATGTTCTGAGGGCTTTTCTTACTGTGAAAACGCCTTGATGTACAATCGAGGACTTTCCCTAGAATTCCAGTCAATGTTCCTTCCACATTACTTTCCTGGCAACTCTCCTGGAAACTTGAATCTCTGTTGGTGTAGGTTCCAATTCGAAGAAATAAGAGACAAAAATGATTCGTTGAGCCTTGAATAGGGATCCTGACCTCTTTTTGACAATATCCTCAATAAATACCAACTTTCGGTTACTGCGTTAACTCCAGTAATATGTGTTCTAATTTATCTTCAGGAAGTTGACTTGCGTGAAAAATTACAAAAGAAAAAAGTAGACCCACAAAAAGAACGCGAGCAGGTAGAAAGGGATCAACGAAGAGACAGAATATTGGCTGCAGAAAAGATAAGGGATGCCTGTAAGCGAGAACTTGAGGAAAGAAGGAAGAAGAACTACGGGCAAGAAAGAGAACAGGATGCCAGGAGCCTAAGTCGCAGTAAAAGTCGCAGTCCTAATCATAAGGGTGAGTGGTTTTTACCATTTTTGTTTTTGAACTATTTTATGTGAATGTTCAACAGATTACCTTGCTGCCAAAAGAACACACCCAACTTTGTTCATAGATTACTCATACCTGAGTCCTTTTTCGAAACTTTCAGACCCCTACCAAGTTTATAGGAGATCTTAGGGGGTGAAAAGTTGGAAACTTTGTACCTCCCTATGTCTTGAATAAAAAAAAAAGATACACAGATTTGGTTTTCCCCAAAAATCATTTTGAGATTCCTTAAGAGAAAATCCCTCAGTTTGATTTTCAAGCTGGTTTACAAGGCATTTTTCTTGCTTTGAATTTGAGAATTTCTTCAAAACAAAGAGATCAAAACTATCTAAATTTCCAATTCAAACCACACTAAAACGGAAAGAAATATCCATTACGTAGATCCAAAGGCCGCACGCAGCTCCGAGCGGACTTCTCCTCCTCCTATCACATCAGCAATCAGTAGCCTTGTCGATGCTTGAGATGTGAGATGGAGGAAGGTAGTGTCCACTTCCGGTCAGATTTCAGAAATTTTTGCGAGGGTTAAGTGTAACATCAACTGGGTTTACCTTAACCTCGATGTCTTGGAAGTTTTAATTCTCTTGGTCTCTCAGAACCTGGGACCACTCATCAGGTGCATATGACAGCAAACCAAAACTTGAGGTACCAATGTAAGGTAGGCCTCCTTTAAAAATTATTTTAGCAATTTCAAGAATTGAAATAATGCACAGAACACAGCCTTAGGAACCTTAGGCTCAAACCTTAGGAGTCTCCCTCTAGGAATCTTAAAGTAGACGATTCTAGACAATTTTTAGTATGAAATAAATCTCAATATCTTTTTCATCCAGAAGGTATTTAAGGCTAGAGTCATTCCATCGTTTCATAGGTTACAGTTCTACAACTAAAAATTGATTTGTAAGTACTTTTCTTTAAGTGAATACATGGTTCAATACTCTAAAAGCAAGCTGGTAAATGGAAGTTATTTCCCTCCACCCTTCCAGGTGATAAACAGCTAAAGTCTGTTACAGATATTACACTAGAGGAAAGTGACTTTTGGTTTTTTTTTAAGAAATGGTATAACTTTATCCTCCCTCAGGAGGTTGAGTTCTCATAAAAATTAGAGTGGAATGAAACTCAATGAGCTTTGTCATTGTACACTCAGAATTTTCAAGAAACTTTTAAGTTTTCGAAAATAAATTATTATTTTTGTTCAGGAGGCTATAGATTTTTGCTGTGGAGGCCTCCCAGATGGTTTTACGGTTCACTAAAAGCTGTCAAAATTTTGCAGATTCTGTCAATGACAAGTTTTGCATTTAGTTGTTAGTTTAACCGTGTGCCTTGTATCTTTGACGAATTTCAACTGTTTCTGAATGTTCTTGAAAATTCTGGGCTGGCCATTTGCTTAGTATTGAAAATTGATTATGAGAAATGACATTTTTTCCGTTCTCTTGATTTATCCTTAAGATGACCCTATTATCCTTTCTGAGTCCTTAAGTTTCTACCCCAATAGCTTGATTTTTGTTTATTTCCTAGCACTTTAACATCAAACAATCTTTCCCATTTTGCACTGTAGAGATATGTCGATTTTCCACCGAACGCAACTGTTCGAACTCTTATCAGGAACACCACTTTTTGAAAAGCTTTTCCTGCATTTTTCTAGCGCTCCAAAACTTTAGAAGAAATTTTTCACTTAATTCTTTATCTCTAGATTGCCCTACGGAAATGTATTAAAATGATTTTGTGCAAGTTACCCATTGAGTTTTCCGGAGAAGTCAAAATTCCCTATTTCAAAGAGTTTTAGACCCAATGAGCCCTGAAAGCGGCATATTCCAATCAAAAAGTGCAGGATTTTTCCATTTTTGGATTGTAGGCAACTGACTACAGGGAAGTTAAAACTTTGTCAAAAACCGTATGTCTGCAAATAGCATACCTAGAAAAAATTCAATTCCATTCCTAGACTCTGTGTTGAATAGTTACCTCAAATAACATAGATTGCTACCTTGTACTGTTTTTCACAAAAAAAATCGTAAATTTTACTGTGTTTTGCCCCATTATGTAGCCAAATGAGATGCAGAATAACTACCTACCAAATCTTAACTGGTCTCCTGTATTTTGTATGAATCAATGCAGTGAAGAAAATGATCGTAAATCTAGGAAATCGGTGAATTTTTTTTTTTAAGTAGCCTCTGTCTTAATTTTTTCTCTAGAATCAGACAACGATCAAGATCGACGGATGGAGACTGATGATGCAGGGTTGGTTTATCTCTCAGATGAGTCAAGAAGTCCATTGGTAATGGAGCCCTTACCTCAGACGTCACCCATGCTGCGATCACCAAGTCCAATGTCTAGCCAGAGCTCAAGTCCAAAATCCAAACACAACTCTGATAACGCTGACACGCATGATAGTGATACTAATACTAGTCGGTCTTCTAATTCCTCCTCTACCCCCGAATCATCTGATGATCAAGACAGGAATAATGGGCGAAGTAAGCTTATTGTATTGTTTTTTTTACATTGTTATCTGCTTGTTTAGCCTCGCGAGTATCAAACCAGTTGTCACGGAAAACTCATAACACTATGGTCGTTTCTGATACTGATTAGTCTCCATCAGGTCTGAACGAAACAAAAAGTAAACAAACTAAAGCTAGAAAGTTTCTTCAATAACGCATTAGTTTCTTTAATTTTCTTTTCAAATACACCTGGTCACATGACTGCAGTGTTCTAATTTTTCTCTAACAACCGGTTTAAATAGCAGTATCTACAAATGCACTTTTATAAAACTTGCCGGTTAGTGAATGACACCAATGTAGGTGACAATAGAGCATCTAGCTAACAGGACCTCCGTCATATTACAGCTGCAACTCTACAAAATGAAAAATTAGAGATTTATGACTGATGAAAGCCAATAAGCCTGCAACAAGTCTTGCAGTGCTCTCTCCGAATCAGAGACCTATGCCTCTCTAATTTCCCAGTTCAGAGATGAAGAGGGTGTGGAACAGAAATAATGCCATGTTTATCCATAAACTCTTTAGTGTATCCTGGGTGACATTGTCCTGGTGAAGGAGCTATACCTCCTACATCTGTGGCTGCTTCTTGGCAATGTGTTTGTGCAGTGTCATCAGTACACATCAGTACTACTCCTTCGTCAGTGTCTGCTCGAGGCGACGAACTGTTGGTACATTATCCTTTGACGATGAAAGAATATACAAGAATACAAGAATTGAGTTAAACCGCTCCTGCTGTTGGCCATAGCTTGTTATGCTTATACATATTTCAAACGGAACGGTCGGACTGTTGCTGAAATGCACGGGGGACACAAACCTAGGATATTGGATGGGAGCAGAGGACCGCTAATGCTGTTTCCCTCTGCATAGGGAAAGTTTATCAAACCAGACCTGTGGTAAGAAAGAAAAAGGAGCTGAGTTGCTTTCAGCGTTAAACTTCCCTTATGTCTTGCGCTTGTTACCTCTACGACTTTTTGGGCAGCTTTGACTTCTTTAACTCAAGCAAAACCCATCCCAAGCCCAATTTAAGACCCAGCTCCACCCATGCACCCTGGGCGTTGAGATGAATGCTTTTTGTCTTCTTACGAGTTAAAACGACAACAGTGCACGATATATCTATAGCGAAATGATAATGAGTCTCATGTTGCATTAAGGCCTAGTTGGCCGGGGCCGGGCATACTTTTCCCTCAGTCGTCGTTTGCACCTTCTAATCGAGGATGTAAGGTCTCTTTACGCCTCTGTCCTTTTTCATGAATAAAATCCCTCTGTGTACCACTAAAAAATTGGGTCATGCTTTGCTCCTCCAAAATCCCAAATCTGACGGGCTATGGGCCCAGAATTACAGTTCTTTTCTGCAAGATCCTCACAGTTAAAAAGTGTTCTAAGTGAAAAACTCCGGGCGGTGACGGTGCAGTTCCGCGCGAACGTGAAGTCTGAATTCGGATCGCGTGTGATGCAGAAAGACTATCGGAAGTAACAACAGCATGTGTTTTCTCTTCGCAACTTTGAAACGCGGAGGCTGATTGTGCACGATGCAAGTTCGAAATTTGAATGTGAAAATTAAAAATATAAGTTCCGAATTTGAATGTTAAAATTAAAAATATAAGTTCGGAATTTGAACGTTAAAATTAAAAGTAAAAGTTTGGAATTTGAACTTTGAGATTAAGAAAGGTCAAAATGGAAACGAATTTAACAAGTGCGGGTTTTTCAAGCATTACAAATCTGAAAGGTACAGCTAATTACGCATCGTGGAAATTTGAAGTCTAGATTTTTCTGGATGCGGCGCAGGTGCTCGAAGTCGCGGACGGAAGTGGCGCTAAACCCTTGATAGGCGGAGATGCGATAAAAAAGTGGATGACCAAAGATGCAATGGCGAAAAAGGTAATTGTCACGACTATCGAGAAACAGTTATTACCACATGTTTTGAACTGCACAACTTCGGCCCAAATGTGGAGTACGTTAAAAAATTTATTCAGTTAAAGCACACAGCACGAGAAAGCTTTGTTGTATCAGGAATTATTGCTATTTCTTTCCCCAAAAATAGTGACATTTGATGCATGTGAGCAAATACGACTTTTGGAACCCACTCTTAAAGACGAAATTTTGATTGATAAAATATTGCAGACCTTGCCTGATTTGTACAGGTCCTTCCACACGGGTTGGGATTTTTTACCAGAAGGAAATAAAACTTTGATTACATTAATAAATCGAATTCTTGGCGTGCATAATAAAAAAAAGGATATTAAAGAGGAGACGGTAGCCTTCTTTGGCGGAGATAAGAGGAAATGCCACCGTTGCCACCGTCAAGGTCACCTCCGTAAGGACTACAGAGTAAATTTGACGTCCAAAAATAAGAATAAAACCGGAAAAAAGAAAACTCCTGATAAAAATGACAATGGTGAGTCCTCGTCTCGTTACTGTAAAATCTGTAAAAAGAATTATCACGACGAGCAACAATGTTTCTTTCGAAAAAAAAATGGCGAAGACAAAAGTATTACAGATAAAACTGGAGAAAATAAAACGGTTGTGTTCATCGCGAACAGTGGTGAAATTGAAAAAGAAACATGGAATATTGACTCGGGTAGCTCTTATCATTTAACGTTTAATAGAGAATTACTGTCCGACGTTACTCAAAGTGAGGTTCTAATTGCCAGTGCTAAAGAGGGCGAGGATATAAAAGCTGTAGGGCAGGGTCGAGTGTGCACGGATAAATGTGTGCTAACTGACGTACTTTTTTCGCCGGAGGTCAGCGCGAATCTACTCTCCGTCGCCTGCATTGTTAAGAACGGCGGCAACGTTACGTTTACTGATGATAAGGTCGTCATACATAAAAACGGCCGGAAAATTTTGGAAGGAAAACGAGCTGAAAATGGGATTTTCACGGTTCGTCTAAAACCTACTGAAGCGGAGGCAGTACTTGAAGACGCTGTTTTTTTGGCGTCAAAAATGCAGGATATAGCACTGTGGCATCGGCGTTTAGGACACTTCAGTGTTGGTAATATGAAACACTTGGAGGGCATGGTAGATGGGATGGTTTTGCCGACTAAAACCATTAAAGTAGAACTCGTGTGCGACGTCTACCCGCGCGCAAAACAGACGCGAAAACCGTACAAAACGGTTAGAACACCGGCTACGCGGTTGTTGGAACATGTACACACGGATTTGTGCGGACCTATTACGCCACCCACGTGGGATATCAATTGCTCTTATTTTATAACTTTCCGGTGCTACTACAGTGGTTTTACGTGCGTATTTTTATTAAAAAATAAAAGTTAAGCTTTTAAAGCGTTTAAAAACTACCTGGCTTATGCGGAAAATTGGGTCGAGAAGCATGTTGCAACTTTTAGACTAGATAATGGTGGGGAATACAATTCTAACGAGTTTAAAGATTGGTGTCGCCTTAAGGGCATAGTGCTCCAATATGCTCCCCCTTATTCACCAAATTTGAATGGAGAAAGTAAAAGATTGAACCGCAGTATCATGGAAAAGGCCCGTGCAATGATTTGTAACGCGAAATTAAACAAAAACTTTTGGGGATTTGCAGTGCAAGCTGCTTGCCATTTACTTAATCGATTGCCGCGAAATGGCAGAGATGAAACGCCGTTTGAGCAGGGGTATAATAGGAAGCCAAATATAAATCATTTGAAAGTGTTCGGTGCGCGAGTCTTCGCAAAGACTAATTACTACTTAAAAAAGTTGGACGATTGGAGTCAAGAATACATATTTGTCGGTTACGCTGAACAGGGTTACATATTATATGATCCTGGCGCTTGTGCGACAATAACATCGCGGGACGTTGTGTTTCGAGAGGATGAAAATTTCAGATCACTGAACCCACGGGATCAAGTGAGAGTCATTGATGAAGAGGACTTTGAATGGATACCTGCGACTCAACTCGACGAAAATGACGTCAGCGAACAAGGAGGAAGTGACGCGGAAACTGGTGGAAATGGGTCAGATGACAGTGACTGGTCACCGAGCTCAGATGACGAGGCGCCAATCACAGGCGATAAGGACAACCCTGAACTTGAACCTACAGGAGAACCAAGATACCCGGGGCGCGTGAAGAATCCACCCGACTTCTTCGTGGCCGGGTTGTACGCCCCAGACTCAGACTGTGCTGAAGTTGAGCCTCAAACTGTGACTCAGGCATTGCGTTCCTCTGACTGGAAAAGGGCAATGCAGGAGGAAATCGACGCAATCAATAATAACGATACTTGGACTCTTATTGAGCATCCAGAACATTGTAACGCGGTAAAATGTTAATGGGTTTTTAAATTAAAGAAAACGGCGGAAGGAATACCTGAACGTAAAAGAGCACGTTTGGTTGCTCGGGGTTTTTCCCAAAAACAATGGATTGATTTTGATGAGACTTTCGCCCCTGTCGTGAGACACAGTACGTTACGCTTTCTTTTAGCACCAGCGGTTAGGTTCAATTTAAGAGTGCATCATTGGGATGTGTCTTGTGCCTTTTTGAATGGAATTTTAAAAAAATGTTGTGTATTTTGAACAACCAGAAGGTTTTAAAATCAAGGGGAAAGAAAATCATCCTAAATATTAAAATGCAAAGTTCCGAATCTTTGGGCGTTAACTTTGAGAGAACCACCGGACCGATTTGCCTGATCTTTTTTTTTTAAATGAAAGCCCCTGAGCTGTAGATTTGCAGGCTGTAATTTGTTTTTCGATTTTTTCAGATTTTCTCCTATAATTTTCTCAAATTTTCTCCAATGTATTAAAACGGAGGTCCGAATCTTTGGACGTTAACTTTGAGAGAACCACCGGACCGATTTGCATGATTTTTGTTTTAAATGAAAGCCTGTGATCTGTAGATTTGCAGGCTGTGATTGTTTTTTCGATTTTCTCAAATTGTCTTACTTTTATCGACGAGTGAAGTTTAGCTGGGCTCAAATTTTCTCCCATTTATTCAGACTAAAGTCCACATTTTGGGACATTAACTTTGAGAGAACCACCAGACCGATTTGCATGGGGTTTTTTTTTAATGAAAGCTTCTGATCTGTAGATTTGAAGGCTGTAATTGTTTTTTCGATTTTCTCAAATTTTCTTACTTTTATCGACGCGTAAAGTTCAGCTGTTTCGACCGGTCGTCCGGCCGCTACCTGCTTGCCCGTCCCTAGGTACCCCCCTCTACGGTCTCAGCCACCCCTCCCGCCACGTTCTTTCGGCTATCTCCGTTTTCTTTCGTATAGCTCTCCTCCCACCAACCTCAAAGAAGGAAGTTTGGGTCGCATCGTCGTTTGTCACTTGCCACCCACATTCCTTCGCAATCCCTAGGCTGCTCTGCTTCACAGCTTCTTGATATCCTGGCATCTTATTCTCTGCAGCTTGACTGACCCTGACTTATTAACTGCAGTATTGCGTATTGCTAACAACACGTATTGTTACAGACATTTTATTCATCATTATTAAATAGATTCAATTAATTGCTCCGATTCCAATTAAGCTACTGCACCACCATTGCTAGCTGTGGAGGGCGCCCGGAGCAGCTAGTGTTTACTTATTGCACAAGGCCCTCTATGGCTTAAAACAGGGCTCGAGAGAATGGAATCTGGTCATAGATGAAAAGTTTTTTTTTTTTTTTTTTTTTTTTTTAAACGGAAGTGAAAATCTGCTTTCTCCCGCACTGGATTGAGGGGGAACCGAAGTGCCCCCAGATCCGGCGAGCCCCGGGGGGGTTTTCCAGGCCCACTCCCAGGTACCAGATACCAATCGCGGCCCGGTCCGAGTGGAACGTCCCCGGGCATCGCTGTCCGGGGACCTCGGTCCGGGAGTGTGAATGGTTATGTGGGTTTGGCCTATGACAGTAGGCCCGCCAAACACTAACGACACTCCCCTTGAGATGCATCCGCACTACGCATCCCCTTTTGTCCGAGTTTAATTCCCACCCAACGGTCAGCCTACGGCCATTACCTCGTCAGGCGAGAGGGCCCCCCGCAACAGTGTCCAGCCGGACCCCACCCTCATAGGAGCACCCCGTTGCCTCCGGAGTACCTAACCCCCGCCAGGAGGGATTTAAACCTCCCAGCAGCTCTGAGGATGGGAATCCGTACCCCGAGGGGTCCGTCAGCACTGGAGCCTCTGAAGCGGAAAGGTTACCTCCCGTGGATGTGTGGGGGATTCCAGGTGGCACCCGGCCAGGACTCCAAGGAGTCCTGTGTTACGCCGGCGCTCCGAGTCCTACCCACTGCACCCATGGGACTCAGACTTCGCAGCGCCCCTCCCTACGAGTAGCGAGCGACGCGGCCGGCCAACCCCATCCGAAGCACTAGTCAACTTTGACTTGCTCCTCCGGTCCGGCCCGCTTTCAGCCCCCGCCAACCACCAGGGCCGGATGCGCGGACTCAAGGTCCGCATTCCGGGATCCTGGGGGGCGCGGGAATCACGAAACCAGACACGTCACCGATCCCGCTTGATCTGCCGCCGCGTTGCCGCCGCGACAGGATGTGGGCTAACGACCGAGGACGCAGGCACAGTGGAGCGGCAACATCAGGGGATGCCTATCCCGCCAAAAGGCGGGAGGAGGAAACCCGAGAAAGTCACCGAGGTGGCAGTCTACGGGGTCGAAGGGTAGCCGACTATCTCTAGCAATTTGCCGGCTAACTCGGGTACGGGGGAGCGTCAAACCCCAGATCCACAGACAGATCCCCTGCGTTAAGATGAAAAGTTAATATCTCTTGATTTTCGAAAAGCGATGAGTGAACCATGCGTGTATTTTCTCATCGTTGAAAGTGTCATCATTCTCATTGCTTTATATGTTGATGATTTGATTTTTTTGTTTAATGATCAAAAAATGGCAGATAAAATAAAACAAGACTTGTTCTGCGAGTACGAGATGAGAGATTTAGGTCCTCTGCATCATTGTCAAGGTGTACGCATTAATATCGAAGAAACTTTGGGTAAAGTTAAATCTATCACGCTTGATCAGCATCAGTACATTAAAGACCTTCTCTCTAAATTCAACATGGAGGATGCTAAGGGCCAACTAATTTCTTTAGAGGTAAAAAGTAAAGTTCAAGGGGAAGTACCACCCGAAAATGAAACAGTTAATAATGATTTACCTTACCAAAATCTTGTAGGTGCTCTCATGTATTTGGCCGTTAATAATAGACCAGACATTGCACATTCATTGAGTTTTTTTAGTTAATTTATTAAAAACTTCAGTGAGTAGCACTGGAAGTCCGCTAAGCGGGTTCCCAGATATTTGAAACAAACAATTGACAGGAAAATTGTGTATTCTCTTAATGACGCAGATAAAGACAAAGATTGTTCTATGATTGGATATGTTGATGCCGATTGGGGAGGCAATGTAGAAGATCGCCGACCTTTTTCGGGGTTTGTTTTTATGTTTTCGGGGGGACCGGTTTCATGGGAAGCACGAAAACAAAAAACTGTCTCTTTAAGCTCAGTTGAAAGTGAGTACTTGGCAATCGGCGATAGTTTTCGTGAGGCCATGTTTTTAAGTCATTTGTACGAGGAAATATTCTCGGGAAAAATTAAAATAAATTTGCAAATGTTCAGTGACAGCAATGGAGCTTTGAAATTACTTAGAAACCCTGTCTGTCACGGGAGAACTAAGCACATCACAATTCGCCACAATTTCGTGCGCGAGGTTCTCAAAGAGGGCTTTATAAGCATTAAATTCCTCGGCACCGAAAAGATGGTTGCGGATATTTTTACAAAAGCCTTGGAAAAGAAAAAGCATTATTTCTGTTCGAATAATCTGTTGAAATAGGCAAAAAAAAAAAAAAGTTAAATGCTAGGTATTCTTTACTAATAAATTCAATGTTTTTCCATATTTACAGGAAATCTATCTTTATTGTTTCATTTGCTTGTTTAAGACATAATTAAGAATCAATTGTGGTTAGTTTTAATGTTTTTTATTGTTTAACAGAGACCAGGGAATAAATAGGCCTCCATAAGAAGAAAAAAATGCGAATGAAGGAAAAGGATCCAAAAATCAAGGGGAAGCGTTGAGATGAATGCTTTTTGTCTCCTTACGAGTTAAAACGACGACAGTGCAAGATATATCTATAGCAAAATGATAAGGAGTCTCATGTTGCATTAAGGCCTAGTTGGCTGGGGCTGGGCATACTTTTCCCTCAGTCGTCGTTCGCACCATCTATCGAGGATGTAAGGCCTCTTTACGCCTCTGTCCTTTTTCATGAATAAAATCCCTCCGTGTACCACTAAAAAGTTGGGTCATGCTTTGCTCCTCCAAAATCCCAAATCTGACGTTGGGCTGTATACAATTGGCAACATGCTTGATGTATTCTATTGGATACTAAACATACAGATCTCATCAACTTTTAACATGTTCAGTCATTCTCGCCATACTGAGCAAGCAACCTCTATTACAAGTTTAATTTAAAGCTACTCTTCAGCTATCCTCTTGCAACTGGGAAGAAAGAAAGAAAGATTAAAAAACCCTTCACCGTTTAATGTCAGGTTTTCCTAAAAACAGAGCAAAAATAGAGGACTCCACACGAATAACAACCTATAATTGAAAACCGCATTGTGAGAAAAACGCATTATAATTTTGTATATGATGTGCTACGAAAAGAAGAAAAAATGTGTTCAGTTGTCAAGTAAGAGGATGCTAAAGCGATCATATGTTGTGTAAGGGTTTAATGGTAGCAGAGAGTCAGGGTTGTGCTTTGAACATTTTTTAAATTGCTCGCGGTCCGGCTTGTTACGGCACGGACAGCTGATACCTAGTTTCATGCGCTCTAACTCCCATATGAGGAGAGAAAGACTTACTACTTATAGGTGGGACTTGGTCTTAAATAGTGGAAAACCAAAACAACCACTGCCAAAAAAGCAGGCGTTCCAGCACCACACCCCCCATCTGGAGACCATACAAAAAGGTAGAATGAAACCTTCAAAGCCTTCAGAATTAAACCTTTCCGCAGCGAAGCTTTCAAAATCCCACCTGTCCTTCGACAATAAAAGGATACAAAGAAAAAATTCTAAAAATCCTGAAGAGGCCTGTGAAATATGCCATTGTTAAAACTCGGGGTCAAATTTTGAATCAGAGAGCTCGAATTAGTGGAAATCGTTTCATTGGTGTTTACTAGATTATTAACTCTACACAAACTACCTTTTCAAAGCTGCTTCTGTTCATCCAAAGAATAAAAACGTGCAGTACTTTTGAGACATCCTATGGAGGAAGGATTCCGAAAAATGAAATCATTGTTCATCAATTTAAATATGTCTCTGGGTTTCCAATGCAGGGGTGCAAGAAGTTCTTAGCCTTCACATCCCTATTTCCTTTGCATAAAAAAGCTTAACTATTTGCTTCACATAAGAGAACGCATTGCAGTTTCCTACGCAAAAGGCTATGCCCTGAGCTGTTTATGCCTTCTGCCACCACATTTCTTTCCCTGTTTCGAGGTGCCTTCACGTTTTTTCACCCCTTTTTAGGTGCCTTCACATTAGCTCCGTGATCGGCCGATCAAGCACTTTCTGCACCCCTGTTCCAATGCATGAGCTTGCTCTGTGTTACAATCATGAAGGATGTGCTTTCCTGGTGGAAAACGCAGGAAAATAGAAAATAATATTATGATGACCGACAAGGAAAATTTTAAAATCAGATTCATTTAGGATCGATGGAGTCCTTAGTTCAGTCCCAAACTATAGTTCCATGAAGTACATTACATTTCCCTGTTTTGCTCCCCTAATTTAAATTGAATTATAGAAATGGAGGATCTTCTGATTTTGTCTTCTTTTTGCTTGTACATTTTGTTTTATTTCCTTATCTCACTATTTGTACTGTTTAAATTTTACACCATTTTCCTTTCCAGACCGAAATGACAAAAATATTGAAGGATTATCTCCTGAAAGAGAGCATATAAGTAATGATGTTCATGCAAATGAAGAATCAGAAATGGAAATACTAGCTGCAGAATCCTTGCCACCATACCTGCCAGCAATCCAGGGTTGTCGAAATGTTGAGGAATTTGATTGTCTGAACAGGTTGTTAATTATGTCCTGTTATATGCCGTTATCAATATTTCATCAATACTAACAAATCTAATAATTCTCAAATACCCCTTAGTTAACTGAAAATTTTAAGCAAAATTGCTGTGCAGCACTGCGACACTCCTTCTTACATGTAACTTTTTCGGATCTAACTCGATGTAGATTTGGAAGGTATTTCACCCTTGGGCTTAATGATTTGGAAAACTTGCGTCCAGCTTGAATTAAGAATATAATTTTCCCCCTTTGTAGTCAAATCTAGAGGTTAGGTTTTTGCAATTTGTGGTCGACAGTAGCTAACAATATTCGCTTCCAGGAGAGGACAGCAAAACAATAAAAAAAACCAAAAAAATATTTCTCACAACCTGATTGGAAATTTACATTTGCAACTATACACACTATCCTATCAGTTATGCGGTAGCTGCTATATTTTTGCCTCTTGGTAAAATATGTATCAGTAATGGTTTTTTTATACTTTTTTTCCTTTCTATAGAATTGAGGAAGGAACGTATGGTGTTGTGTATCGTGCTAGAGACAAACGTACAAATGAAATCGTAGCTTTGAAAAGACTGAAAATGGAAAAAGAAAAGGAAGGTTTCCCAATTACATCTCTACGTGAAATTAGCACCCTCCTGAAGGTAAGTTCTTCTAATTGCTGATTTATATGAGCACTATAAATTGTTAAAACATTTTCGAGTAGAATTAATCCAAGGCAGCTGGTGTGGTGATGAGATTAAAAAAAGTCAGTGCAATAAATTTAGTTGTCTGCTTTTAGTTCCTTAAAAGCCATTGATGCACCTACCACGATAATTGAAGCATTGAATATGATAGAGCTTTTTTTGAGAAACCTCAATTTTAGATGTTAGTAATTCAAAATTTTTGATGAATATTTGTAGACTTGACTTACAGTGGAGGAGCTGGCTAATTTTTCTCATAGTATGCATCTCTCAGCTAAATCAGTCATGAAAGAAATTGAACTTTTGTCCAGATTTTGGACTTGAAATCATGTCAAAAGACGAATGAAAAAGTTCCTTTATCGCCTCTACAACTTACCAGTTTTTAAAGAGGTTTCATTTGGAATCTCTTAAGGAGGGGTTGCGATTTGAGCCGGAATCGGCCCCTCCGCGGAATTGGATAATTTTTGGATATTTGGCAGTTGACGGTGCATATATGATGGAAATAATCGAGTTATGCCGATACTCACGTTTTTTGGCTGCGAAACAGGGGCCTAAACATGGCTCCCATGGCCGAAAATAGCTGAAATTTCGCGTTCTTTGTGGTTCTACCTCAGTTTCGACCTGGACCCAAAGGCGACAGGTGATGAGCTTCGAATATGGTGTCTGGGACACCTAGACACGTATTATACTTGAATATGATCAACCGTCGCCTTTAAGCCCAACCTCAAAATCGGACTTTTCCAACTTTGGAGCCCGAAATAGCTGAAAATCCATGTTTTCCGCGGTTCTACCTCAGATTTTGACCTGGGTCCAAAGGCGACGGTTGATCAGCGGCCTGATTGTTGAAATTGATAGACAAAGCGATAGACAAAGAAGACATAATGAGTATACTGCGATCCTATTGGTTGAAATGGGTGGTTCTCATAGACTAAGGGGGTAAATGATGGACTCACTATCGGGTCTCTCGTGGGTTGCCGTTAGTTAGTCTATTACCTACGTCCTTTGTCTATTGCAACCACCCGCTTCTACCAATAGGATCTCTCCATATCCTTTTTGTCTTCTTTGTCTATTGCTTTGTCTATAAATTTCAATAATCAGCCCGCAGCTTCGAATATGGTGTCTGGGACACCTAGACACGTATTATACTTGAATATGATCAATCGTCGCCTTTGGGGCCAACCTCAAAATCGGACTTTTCCAACTTTTTAGCTTGAAATAGCTGAAAATCCATGTTTTCCGCGGTTCTACCTCAGACTTCGACCTGGGCCCAGAGGTGACGGGTGATGAGCTTCGAATATGGTGTCTGGGACACCTAGACACGTATTATACTTGAATATGATGAACTGTCGCCTTTAAGCCCAACCTCAAAATCGGACTTTTCCAACTTTGTAGCCCGAAATAGCTGAAAATCCATGTTTTCCGCGGTTCCACCTCAGATTATGACCTGGGCCCAAAGGCGACGGGTGATGAGCTTCGAATATGGTGTCTGGGACACCTAGACACATATTATACTTGAATATGATCAACCGTCGCCTTTGGGCCCAGCTTCAAAATCGAACTTTTCCAACTTTCCAACAAAGCAAACTTCTCTGACTTCCTGAGGCCATGATAAGCACTGTAGGGTTACATCTGGTGAAAACTGCATTCAGTCAAAAAGAACGTATCGTGAAGTTCCTATCATTAGATATCTCTCACCTGAGATAGTCATCAAATACAAACCTGTATGCTGTTTCATTAAAGTGAGCTTTTCATAAAGGTAACATTACCAAGCACTGGGGAGCTCAAGCAAGCGATCAAGTAATCTGGAGCTGACAAGTTAACCTACACGTGAATTAGTACAAAACTCAGTTTTCGCAGTCATTCAAGTGACTTGTGACAGACATTATAGCAAGAAGATATGAATACATTCTCTGTATTCGAAGGCAAGTTCTGGGTTCAGTCCAGAACCTGAATAGAACGTTGCACAAACAGTACTTTTCAACTATTTTGGACTAAAAAGATGGAAAAGTTCAATTTTGAGGTTGGGCTCAAAGGAAACGGTTGATCATATTCAAGTATAATACGTGTCTAGGTGTCCCAGACACCATATTCGAAGCTCATCACCCGTCGCCTTTGGGCCCAGGTCATAATCTGAGGTGGAACCGCGGAAAACATGGATTTTCAGCTATTTCGGGCTACAAAGTTGGAAAAGTCCGATTTTGAGGTTGGGCTTAAAGGCGACGGTTGATCATATTCAAGTATAATACGTGTCTAGGTGTCCCAGACACCATATTCGAAGCTCATCACCTGTCGCCTTTGGGTCCAGGTCGAAACTGAGGTAGAACCGCGAAGAACGCGAAATTTCAGCTATTTTCGGTCACAGGAGCCATGTTTAGGCCCCTGTTTCGCAGCCAAAAAACGTGAGTATCGGCATAACTCGATTATTTCCATCATATATGCACCGTCAACTGCCAAATATCCAAAAATTATCCAATTCCGCGTAGGGGTCGATTTCGGCCCAAATCACAACCTCTCCTTTGCCCATATTAAGATTATCATGAAAATTATCAACGCATCCTCTTTCAACTTAATTTACTTTATCCTCATTTGTGAAAATAGTCAAACCATAATTACAAAAGACAAGCTAGCATTTTGTGGGAACAATTTTCTTTAAAGCATTTTATGCACTGCACAAAGTGGAACCTACTCAAACAGTAGGCAGGCCCAAAAACATGTAGGGCAAACAGTATTCAGGGAATAACATTCTGCCCATCACCTGTAACGCTTTTGTTGCAACAGTGTTTTGTTTATTTCAAATTTCTAAATCTCTAAGAATGTAACAAAGAGATTATTATTCGGTACTTGTCTTCAAAATGGTATCATGCATATATTTTCAAATTGATCCTTTGCTAGAGTATGTTGAAGATTTATCCCTGAAGCTAAATCCTGCTATAAAGTTGGTTTTAACTCTACACTAGGTATTTCATTCTAATACTAGCGACCTTTACATGCTTTCCACGTAGCAATTTATGCAGACTGAATGACAGGAACACTCTCTGCAAAATCCCAGTAAAGATAAATTTCCTTTAAATGAAGGCTACTTTCTCCTTGTCCCCTTCAGAATGGATAAAGAGAGCTCTGATTTTGATGGACTTCATGATCTTGCCAGGAAACTATACTATCAAAATCAGCAAAACCGTCTACCCTCATACTTTTTGAAGGGAGCCAGGGATGCCTCAAAACAATGAAATTCGGATTTATTCTCCCTTCATTCCCGCAGTCCTCAATCTCACCCGACCTAAAGTAACTAAGAGAAACTTCAGTTACGGGTGGTCTTGGAAGTTCGTTTTTGGGAAATCCAGTGGCACCATTGTGTTTCGATCAAAATTTTATATCAGAGCACCACATGAATCGCAAATTCCAGAGCATGCAGGAGTTCCATTGTGGTATTGAAAAAATAAGGGTGAACCCAAATCGAACTATTAAGATCGGCTCTCTAAAGCAGAAGGGAATGCAGTTACGCGAAGGGGGATAAGAAAACATTTTCCTTGGTTTCAGCTTGGCCAGCTCTGTATAGTCCTACTGGCACTCCAATGTAATTTCAAATCAAGAAAAGATTTTGACGTGAAGAGAGGGCTTATAACGAAAAGTCAGAAATTCGCAGAGAAATAAGACAAATTATTAGGAAAGGAAGGTATAACATTTTGTGATTGCACTCAATTTTAGTGAAAGTAGCTGTAAACACTATACTTTATTTGGGGAAGAAATTGTGATCGCACGATGTAAAACAGTGTATTTTGTTAGAAAGATACTCTGATAGCAATGACTCAAACTTAGGATTAGAGAACTCCGCGTTTTTACTAATTTTTTTTTCGTGCACGCGTTCTCATGCGTTTTCATACCCTTTCAAAGAGATTCGACCAATCCAATGCGATGCTAGCACATAATCTGTATAGTAAAATAATCCATAAAATTAAAAAAATTAAAATTCATAACTATCAGTCATGTTCCCCGATCAAGCAATTGAAGTTCTCCCCCTCTTATCCACTTTTAAATAAAATTATCTAACTGAATCCGCAACCCTTAGATCTCGGCTATCACGCCCTCTACGCCTCTCACACCAGCGTTTGAAGAGGCAGACAAAGAAAAAGAATGCGCGGGTGCCGAAATCCAGTATCCCACCCAGGTGCACTCGTAACGCTCCCGCCGCGCCGCCAAGCGAGATCTGGCGACATCGCGCGCTCGAGTCAAATGCATAACATACAACTATGACGACGCCAATCTGGCCTTCGGTTTCCAAAATCAGCGCCTTCTACAAAGAAAGTGGGTCGGCCCCGCTACCCTTGAGGGGCTCCCGCGACGCTCCCGTGGCGGACCAGCGGGGGGCGCTCGCACCGCCCAGTTTGGGACGAAGGGCAGAACCTCCGGTCCAAACGCGGCTCCGATAGACACACCGGGGAGGGAGCCAGGACGATTCTTCCGAAAACAGTCAAAGGGCCCCCGCGTCGTCGTCGTCCCCTCCCCCTGGATGGAGGGATCTTAATTGGGGAAAGGAAATCCCCCTCCCCCCCCCAAAGATCCCCAAGGAATCTAAATTCCTTGGGGATCTGGATGGAAACCCGATCGTATCGAACGTCGTAACCGCAGACGGAACCCGGATCTCGGGGGCCGAACGAGAAGGTACGAAGTAAGGCACTCCCGGCAGGGGTTATAAAACGGCAACGGGGCGCAACGCTCCTTCGGGGAGGTCGAGGTCGGTCATTTTTGGAACTTCAGCTCCGGTTGACCACCAGCCACCCGCGTGCCGAATCCCGAGACGAAAGAAAGAATGGGGCGAGAGCGGCGCGGCGCGGCGGCGGTTTTCCCGAATAAATCCCTATATTAAGGGCTGCTGCAACCCCCCGGAGGGTTGGACTGGAGACCCGGCCGCCGGGGTCCCGCTGATCGATCTCTAGGGGCGTGGGAAGGGGCCGAGAATCTCAAGGTCGCGGCGGACCGTCAATAATTTTATTATAGTATAGATAATTTATTTAGACCATCCATACCAGATTTTTTTCTTGGTTGTTTCAGGTCGGACGTAGTCGGGGATGAATAAGGAATCTAAATTTCATGGTTCTGGAAGTCCCCCCCCCCCCTCGCCTCTTTGGGAGTTATAAGGGTGGTCCTCCCTCCAAAAGTCTGGGTTTACATATAATTTTTGAAATTATTCCATTAAAACCAGAGAATACAGAAAATTCTAACCCTTCTTGACACCAAGAAACCCAAAATCGGCTCACCCGCGCCCCAAGTACTGACCCTTAAAGGTGAAGACAGAGCCTGCCTCTCCTCTAGAAAATGCCAGGTAGCCAAATTGATGTGGAAGCTCGGAAGAATGATTTTTTCATGGGTAATTGAATACAAGGAATCCGAAGTCACTGATTTTGCAGCTCCCTGAGGCTTTGCTGATAGGGAATTGGAGGGCACCGAGTTCATTAATTCAATTAATTAATGGTCCTCCGTGCTATAAGGGGGCTCCAGGACCATAAAATTCAGACTAATCTAGGTCAATTTCCTATATATTCATGCTGTCCCCTACTTCGTCCGATCTGAAACAACCAAGAAAAAACTTGGTACTGATGGCCTGGGACACCATGTATTTGATTTTTTTATTTCTTTACTCTTTTAGGCACAACATCCAAATATAGTGACAGTCAGAGAAATTGTAGTTGGAAGTAACATGGACAAGATATACATTGTCATGGATTATGTGGAACATGATCTGAAATCGCTAATGAAAACTATGAAGTCAAAGAAGCAAGTTTTTCTTCCTGGTAATTTTTTTTTATTTTATTCGGTCTTACTTTAGGTCTGATGTGTCTTTGTGGTCTTAATTTGTTTTCCTCATCTCGAAGTAAATTAAGTCTTCTAATACCTTACATTATTTGAAATATACCTACTTCTCACAAACAGATATCGTTGAGGAGAACAGATCCATCTAGGAACAGGGTTTTAAGAAACGACAAATAGCCAAATAAAAAGGTTTTGTAGGTATGCCTGGGCGGATTAAAAGTAAATTTTTACAGTATAGCATCGATTATCCACGCCTCGATTATCTGCAGGCTGATTATTTTCCGCGTTGGTAATAAAATCGTCACGTTAACGGCAAAAGTATAATCGAGCGACTATTTCACTCCGCGCCGATCATTAAACCGTGGCGGGATATTTGAGTCCGTCGATAAAGTTAAAGGTTACTCTACGGCAACCTCTAAGCTAACGATTCGCGGCAAGCTAACCTAACCTAACAACATACCGCGCGTGACGTGGAGCAAAGAGATTGGGGGAACCTTGTTGTTTTCAACTTCCTCCAACAACCAGCAGGAGTTCCTCAAGGATCAGTTTTGGGTCCATTACTTTACCTTTTATTCACTTCTGATATTCCAGCCCCGATCAGAAACTCTCTCCTAGGAAAATATGCAGATGATACCACATACCTATCAAGTAACAAAAGTCAAGAACTTGAAGAAAATCTTCAACATTTTTTTATAATTGGACAGTTGAACAATATATTAGGCTTAATTGTGGAAAAACTATCTATAAAATATTTTCTAATCGTATCATTAAAGATATCAATGGTATATTTAATAAAATACTTTTAAAACCTTCTATTGTGGCCAAGTATCTAGGCATACACCTAGACACTAAACTAAAGTGGAAAGAACACATCAAAATTGAAAAAGACGAATGTATTTATAAACTTAAAAAATTACAATGGTTATTAGGTAGGAAATCTAAGTTAAGTATAAACAATAAATTAATTGCAGTATAAACAAATCTTACGACCCACATGGGCATATGGAGCTCAGATCTGGGGGTGTGCCAAACGGTCAAACTAAGAAATATTACAAAGATTTCAAAATCGTTCCCTTAGACTAGGAGACAGATCAGGCCCCTAGATAGTCGGGGCACGATGGTAGGAAAGAAATTCTGACATTCATAGAGATCTTGGTGTGGAGACAGTCTCACAATTTATAACCAAAGTTGCGACGAACGAGAAGAAACGTCTCTATCACCACCCAAATATTGAGGCAATTCAATTATTAGACAACCCCAACGAATACAGACGCCTCAAAAGGGTAAAGCCGGGGGAACTGGCCAGCCTCTCGGTCTGAACCATTAATTTTAATTCATTATATATAATATGTAAATAAGTTACAAACTGCTCTGTTGTTTGTATTTTCTCTTTATTTGAGTTAGAAACAAAGTGTATATTTTCATAATGAAAGCTCACTTGTAACTATTAGAAAAAAAAAAGAATAAAAAAGTTTACATGAGGTGCAGTAACATTGGTACCATAACGACTACACCACGGTAGTTTTGCGCCATTCTAATTTGTGATTTGTGGTCAAATGCTCTAAGGTATCTTAAAACTGATGAAATTATCCCCTTCAGATCGTAATTCACAGGTATCAAGAGATAGAGTGTCATATTGTCGAAGTCTGTACATTTTTAAAAGTCCTGTTACAGGTTGGCCCAAGGAGCTGCTTTGCACAAAAGAAAGTATTTCAAAGAATCCTCAATCGGTGCCTTTGAAGAGAGCATGCCAGTGTCTAGTCTTTGCTAATCCGAATTTTGCATGGTGTGAGGTAGCATCTGTGCTTTGCTGTTGCCTCATCATGTCTGTAATTAAATCCGTTACCTTTTGATTGTGTGAAATTTATATTTATTGTAGTTTTGCCCTCTCAATTTTTTAGGTGAAATCAAGTGTCTTATGGAGCAACTACTTAAGGCAGTCAATCATTTGCATGACAACTGGATTTTACATCGTGATTTGAAAGCTTCAAATCTGCTTCTGTCCCACAAAGGAATTTTAAAAGTGGGTGATTTTGGTCTTGCCCGTGAATATGGTTCCCCATTAAAACAGTACACTCCAATAGTAGTTACTCTTTGGTACAGAGCTCCAGAACTATTGCTTTGCACCAAGGTAAATTGTTTTCAAATATTTAAGCTCTCCAAATCTCTGTGTGATTAATTATGAACTCCTGGAACATATTTGATTGAGGAAGAGAAGTGAGCAAAAATAGATTTCCGTTAATCCCTCTAGCTTTCTTGCATTCCTTTTTCCAAATCTGAATTATGAACGTTCAGTTTTGAAGAAATTATTTATTTATGTACCTGAGAAGCAACAAATCTGTACTTTGAATTAAAATGAGGAAACAATGACTTCAGGAGACCCGGAAAAAGAACTTGTAGAAAAATAAGGAAAAGACAATGGAAAGCACACATTTTTCACTCGGCATTCTTTTCAAACAGTCCTCGCACAAAATTGAAGTTGCATTTGAAAGAACCAAGACAAATCATAACATTCTTTGCCGTACAAGATGGAATTGATGAACTTTGTTGTAATCCATCAGTGCACTGGGAGGTAGCTTAGTGGTGATGGTAGGTGTCCTCCGTAAAATTAAGCTTTTTGCTAACCTTTGTACGGAATTCCAAGTTTTGAACTTGCTCTAAAACTGAGAGTATACAGGCCATGTATTCAATTTTACCAGAATGATTTATCTCCTGTATTTAACTAGTTAACTGCCACACCGTTTGATTGACCGGTATAGATGTATTCCACTGAGGCCAACCGGTCGTTTAAAACAACTGGCGCTTCCTTGGCTGATTTTGCTGTGTCAGCTGAGCCACACAGAGTGCGCTTTCTCTAGGCATTTTAGTGAACTGATAGTACCACTGAATGCCCGATAGAGAGCGCTACCATCGTTTTTCTTGGAGAATTTGTCAGCACGTTTCAATCAAATTCGTAACGTTCGTTTTCGTGTGTTTCCGTCGCCCTGCAGGAAACGATTACCGAACAGCCAGTCAATGCGTTAAAAAGATATGAAATAGAAAGTCTTATTTTTTTCATGACCATCGTTGCTTCAAGTGCTGAACTTTTCAAACGTGTATTATTTCTTCTGCTGCAGGAATATTCCACAAAAATAGACATGTGGTCAGTGGGATGTATTTTTGCTGAGTTTCTAACCATGGAGCCCCTATTCCAGGGCAAGAATGAGTGCAATCAGATTCATAAAATATTTGAAGTACTGGGAACTCCTAATGACACAATTTGGCCCGGGTACTCACAGTTTGCACTCTGCCAAAAAGTTAACTTGCCAAGTTACCCTGGAGTATCTCTAAAAGCAAAGTTTGCACAAATGATTAGTGATGCTGGTCTCAAGCTTCTATCCGAGTAAGTCTCATTCAAACTTTTCAGCAGGGCTGAGTGACCATACTTTTTGGCTTAAAATCGAGGGGGGAGTCAAATATTTAATCAAAGGAGGTAGGAGGGGTATCGATAAGAGCCGTTTTCTAAAAATACGTCCTCTTTTTCAAATAAGTCATTAAATTGGAGGTTTCATTAATTTGAACTAGCAATGTTGCCATTTATCATTTTTTTCTGCAATTGATTTTTTTTTATCAAATTAGGCAACATCGTCAAATACTCCTTGTTGAAATAAAACAAAACACTGTCATTGTATTATTCGCACTTTTTCATTTCTTTCAATATATTATACCTCCCAAAGAAACGATTGGTACGCAAGATATGAGCTATCAAAGTTTACCCTTTGTGTGCGCAGACTGGAATCCGGGCTCTTGAAGTCATCTTCACACCCCCTCCCTTGCCACCAACAAGTTTCACCTGATCATTCCTGCGTATTTTTTGGCATACTTTCTATTTCTAGCCTTTTAAGAGGCCTCAGATGAATATTTAGGGGCCTCCTGATCCATGGTTGCCATTTTTGACCCATATTAGGAGGTTTCTTCTTTTTTCCTTTAGTAGAGCTTAATTTAGACTGAAAACTGTGTAACTTTTTGGAAGGAACGTAACAATGAATCAGACCAGGTTTGTAGCTTTTTCCTTTGTTGCCCAATTTTTTAGAAAAATCGTCTCAAAGATCCAAAATTTGAATAATTATCATGTCGAAAGTTCTGGGAGATGAATGATGGGTTTCATGTGGAAAATAGAAGCTTTAAGTTTTGTTTTACTGCAAATAAAATATCCACCACGGAAAATTACGATACATTTCACTGACGTAATAAATAATCCAATTTTTGGCGTTTCGCAACGATTTTTCTCGAAAATTTGGCAATGCAAGAAATAGTTACAAAGAACATTATTCTTGTAATTTTTATGTTTTTTCCGTAAATGTATCCAGTTTTTCGAATAAATTAAGTTAAACACGTGTAAAACTAAAAGTAACCGTAAAAATTAGCCAAAAATGGCAACAATGGATCCTAAGGCTCCTTATAATTAATCGGAAGACATTATAATGGCCAAAATTGGAAAGTGAGGCAAAACTTTCAGCAATCGAAATGCTTAAAGTCCAAGAAACTGGGGCACAATTTTCATATTGACGTACGGAACAGTTCATACCCATCCATACAGCAGACTAAAAAAACCTTAATGCACCTGGATTCCCATGATGTGTTAATTGACTGGGATGTCATGTTTTGCGGTCCTCTTAACAATCAGTACAGCAGTACAGCAGCAACAAAGTAGCTCTTTTGAACGTTTTTCGACATTTAGTCACAATTCATGCGGGTGCACCCAATGTATTTTTTCCTTGCTTTTCATTTTTGGCCACTAAAATGGCTTCCGATCAATTTTAAAGATCCTCAGGGTCCATTCTTGCCATTTTTGGCCAATTTTTACGGGTTTTTTTAGTTTTACACGTGTTAACTTATTTTATTCGAAAAACTGGATACATTCATGGAAGGAACATAAAAAATTACAAGAATAATGTTCTTCGTAACTATTTCTTGCATTGCCAAATTTTCGAGAAAAATCGTTGCGAAACGCCAAAAATTGGATTATTTATTACGTCAGTGAAATGTATCGTAATTTTCCGTGGTGGATATTTTATTTGCAGTAAAACAAAACTTAAAGCTTCTATTTTCCACATGAAACCCATCATTCATCTCCCAGAACTTTCGACATGATAATTATTCAAATTTTTGGATCTTTGAGACGATTTTTCTAAAAAATTGGGCAACAAAGGAAAAAGCTGCAAACCTGGTCTGATTCATTGTTATGTTCCTTCTAAAAAGTTACATAGTTTTCAGTCGAAATTTAGCTCTACTAAAGGAAAAAAGAAGAAACCTCCTAATATGGGTCAAAAATGGCAACCATGGATCAGGAGGCCCCTAAATATTCATCTGAGGCCTCTTAAAAGGCTAGAAATAGAAAGTATGCCAAAAAATACGCAGGAATGATCAGGTGAAACTTGTTGGTGGCAAGGGAGGGGGTGTGAAGATGACTTCAAGAGCCCGGATTCCAGTCTGCGCACACAAAGGGTGAACTTTGATAGCTCATATCTTGCGTACCAATCGTTTCTTTGGGAGGTATAATATATTGAAAGAAATGAAAAAGTGCGAATAATACAATGAACAGTGTTTTGTTTCATTTCAACAAGGAGCATTTGATGATGTTCCCTAATTTGATAAAAAAAAAATCAATTGTAAAAAAAAATGAAAAATGGCAACATTGCTAGTTCAAATTAATGAAACCTCCAATTTACTTATTCGAAAAGGAGAGGATTATCAAGTTTCAGTAGATAATCTACTACTTACTATCATTGTTGAAAATAGCACAACCAAGAGTATATCAATTACCTCAGGAACGTTGATGTCCAAATTTTCCCTTGAAAGAAGAGAATTCACAGAATTACCAAAATAATTGTCATCTCTAAAAGAAGTTGGTTTGTAACAAAGTAATGTTTTGGACATGATGACTTTTAAAGTCAAGATTTTTATGCATTGCAAGTCATTGTTGTTTCCATGAGAGAGGAGCACCAACTTGGTACTTCTTAGTGCCACCAAGTTCAGGTGGTAATGGTTCATCTTTTGTATAAAGGCTGATTTCACTGATATATAAAGGCTGATTTCATTTGACAAGGACTCAAACTCACTGTAATAATCAAATTTTTGCTTATCTTTTCAGTTTTTTAACCTATGATCCAAATCAGCGAATCAGTGCTGATGCTGCTCTTAAAAGTAATTATTTCAAAGAACTCCCAAAAGCAATTGATCCCAGTATGTTTCCAACGTGGCCTGCAAAAAGTGAAATGGGTCATAGAAAAGCAGCCAGTCCTAAGCCTCCTTCAGGAGGTCAAATGTATAAAAACATGGTATGTATCCTTTTGTCTATTTTAGATCCAAAAATTTTAGGTTCAATCTATGTACATCTATGAAGGGTGTTCAATAAGTGAGTATCTCCCCTCTCTAAAATCAATAGGAATGGACCAATTTTATAAAAACTTGAGCTCAAAATCCTCCTTAGGATATATCGAGTTCAACAAAACAAACCGCAACAAAATCGGACCATGTGCGGCCGAACGCGAGCCGTTTGAACGCGCCGAGGTGCACACCGCTCCCGCCAAATCCGCGGAAATTTGAAGTCCGCGACAAGAGAAGAGCTTCCCTGCCAACGCTTCAGTCGTTCATCACTGACGAAAAATCAAAGAAGTTTTTGTAGAATAAAGGGCTTATCTCACCTCTCCACATAACCAGCTCGATCCAAGCAGGTCTGATACTGATTGTGAGACTAAGAGAACAGCTTTTGGAGACCACGCGCGTAGAGGTCTTTCAACTGGCTGGGGATGAAAGTGTTGACAGCTTGTTTGACTTCCTCCACTGATTCAAAATGAACTCCCCCGAGTTCAGATTTTAGATACGGTAGTAAATGGCAAAACAGACCACTATTTATTCCCCTTTCTGAAATCTGAACTCGGGGGAGTTCATTTTGAATCAGTGGAGGAAGTCAAACAAGCTGTCAACACTTTCATCCCCAGCCAGTTGAAAGACCTCTACGCGCGTGGTCTCCAAAAGCTGTTCTCTTAGTCTCACAATCAGTATCAGACCTGCTTGGATCGAGCTGGTTATGTGGAGAGGTGAGATAAGCCCTTTATTCTACAAAAACTTCTTTGATTTTTCGTCAGTAATGAACGACTGAAGCGTTGGCAGAGAAGCTCTTCTCTTGTCGCGGACTTCAAATTTCCGCGGATTTGGCGGGAGCGGTGTGCACCTCGGCGCGTTCAAACGGCTCGCGTTCGGCCGCACATGGTCCGATTTTGTTGCGGTTTGTTTTGTTGAACTCGATATATCCTAAGGAGGATTTTGAGCTCAAGTTTTTATAAAATTGGTCCATTCCGATTGATTTTAGAGAGGGGGGATACTTACTTATTGAACGCCCCTCGTAAGAAGCTTATGTTAAACCTGCGTCATCTGGTGTAAGTTCAAATGGACATATTCATGCTGAAAAGAATCATGAGAAAATGAATTAAATGAAAAGGAACTGAATGTGTAGGATTTGCCTGCTATCTAGCTCATTTTGATTTTATCATTTTGACATAGTTCTTCACGGCATAAATACATAGGCTGTCCCAAAACAACTAAGAGTAAGTCTGTATTTCAGAAAAAATAATAGATATTGAAACGCGGTTTGTGGGAGGTTGTAGCTCATATCCTTAGCTATCCAACGAGCCCAAGATTAGCTCATTTGGTCAAAATTTCGCTGAGTTACAGCAATTTTTCGGAGGCGCGTAAAAAATAACCCAACAGGATTTTTGAGTATTTTTTTCCTTGTCTGAAATGTTGTTCCGAGAGTCGCGCAGTTGATCGCAACTTTGCAGATCACGTGGGCACTGGTCTAGATGCAAGTTCTAACATGTTTGTATGTGCTTTCATTGCATATCAGAGTTTTTTTCAACTTCCCAGCTCAGTGAAGCCAACATTGTCTAGCGTTAATGACACTTTCCTACGCCGCGCCGCAGAAGTTGACGCCCGGCCGCCATGCGGAATCAAAGCTCGACCCTCGGAAAAAGCTGCATGCCACCGATGAATAGTGTTCTGACCAAGTCGGTTTTCTCCATAAGCAACTGACATCTCTTTCACGGTATCAGAGGCAGTTAAACCTCGGCGAACACAGTAACGGATGGCATAGCGATGCTCTTGTTTCAGCTCCGCGGGCGAACTCATTGCACCAAACGAGAACACGTGTCATTAACGCCAAGCAATGTTCGCTTCACTGAGCTGGAAAGTTGAAGAAAACTCTGATATGCAATGAAAGCACATACAAACATGTTAGAACTTGCATCTATACCAGTGCCAACGTGATCTGCAAAGTTGCGATCAACTGCGCGACTCTCGGAACAACATTTCAGACAAGGAAAAAAATACTCAAAAATCCTGTAGGGTTATTTTTTACACGCCTCCGAAAAATTGCTGTAACTCAGCGAAATTTGACCAAATGAGCTAATCTTGGGCTCGTTGGATAGCTGAGGATATGAGCTACAACCTCCCACAAACTGCGTTTCAATATCTATTATTGTTTCTGAAATACAGACTTACTCTCAGTTGTTTTGGGACAGCCTATGTACATTCAATTGTTAAGTCTAAAAAGTAGCCCTCAGACTGCTTGTTAATCGTATTCCTCTGGTTTTAGTAGCGAGGCATTGTAAGGATTGGAGCAATGAACAACTAGACAAGGTACGAATCTTAACTGGTTGGATGTATGTTTCCTCCTCAAAATTTTACAAAGAACACAAGGTGCAAAACGAAAATTACTAGAAGTAACTCCCAACTAAGAAATCAAATTTTGCACATCAGCTTCGGCAAGCTTATCAATTACTTAGCAATGCTCTTTCCCCGCACCATGTTGTTCACAAAGTAAATACAGTAATACTTCGATATAACGAATTTCTAGGGACCGGCGAAAAAATTCGTTAAATCGAAAATTCGTTACATCGAAAACCGCCGAAAACCCGATTTTAGGCCACAAATTTTTTTGAAATGTTAGGTTTTTTCCGGTTTCGTGTACACCCCACCCCCACCCTTCTGAAACTATGACGATATTTTACGGAAAATCGGCGGGGAACTCCCGGTTAACACTTGATCAGTAAAGCGGTGTTTTCCTCCAAACTGGCCAGGAGCCGTCGCGCGGCGCCACGCAGCGCCCGTTGCCATTTGATTGCGTAAAATATATCGCAGTTATTAGGCCGCCGCAGGACGCAGCACTGCTCCGGGAGCAGTGCCGCGTTCAAAGCAGTACATGGGATCTATTGGGAGACCGGTCGTGCGCCGCGCGTGGCGTTGCAGCGTCAGTTGGAGGAAAACACTGCTGAAAACTGCGCAGCGGTAGTGAGGAGCACACGGCAGGGGTTGAAATCGTACTATGGACACTGTTCACGTAGCTCCTCAATCACCCCGTTTATTCGAAGAAACATGTGCGCCTCGGAAATTCCCAATCCCGCCGTATCGGAAAATGACCTTTGCACCGATACCGACGTACAATACGCGGGTGAAGACAAGCATGCTTTCTCCCCCGCGGTGTTGCCGGTCGCGCGGAAATTCCCGTGCATTCGTTAAATCGAGTTCGATTTACACGGTAAAGTTCGTACTCGGACCGAAGATTTCCTTCGTAAAAGCGAATATTCGTTATACCGAAATTCGTTATATAGAATTTATTTTACATTGAAAAGATAGGGATTTTTTCGGGACCGCGAAAAAAATTCGTTAATTCGAAGAATTTGTTATATCGACGTTCGTTATATCGAAGTTTCACTGTAACATGCAGTAAATAGCCAAGTAGAAGTGCCGATATTGAGATTCTCTTATTTTACACTGCAAAGACTACGACGGTAATGTTTAGTGTGCGATTGAACTCGAGTAGATTATCTTTTATTCTGTCTATAAGCGTGAGTTAGAATTTATGCCAAAAAAAAAATGTTAATATCTTTGTTAAAAGTTACTGGTAGTAATTTTCGTTTTAGGGATCATGTCTCACATGAAATTTTGATGAGCAAACATATCATAATGCTTAAATCTGCGCCTTGTCAGGTCGTCCAATTTTAATGGTAAGTGGATATTTTGATGAATGTCCTTATAGCATTTGTTTCAAAGTGTTATTTGTAGCTCCGCATGATTTGATACTTCTTGCTCATTTACTGGAAGCTAGTAAGGCCTGTGCCATCCGTAGGCTTGCATAGCAGTACATTCAGTATCGAAGAATGAAGAACTTAGGCGGTGAGACGTCACTGTCAGTGTCTTGCTGAGTCTTCTTCCAACTTTATCAAGTGAGGATCTATTTCCTACCTCTGTCCTGTTACTACCATATTTTCATATTTTAGATCACTCTTTACATAGTGCTCAACTGGACTTCATGTCACACAAAAATACCACTAACAACGAAGTTGATCGGCCAATTTGTAACAGGACCAGGTTTTAGGGAACAAAATTTCAGGGACCCAAAGTGAAAATAATAGAAAAGGTGGGATGAAACATCCTAGAACCAAACCTTTGCAACGATCAGGGGTCGAGAGGGAATTAAAATTAATTTGATCGCCCTCCAAGTTTGTGGACGACCAAGCATCGCTTTCGATCAAAATATTCGCTCAAGAGGCCTGAGCAGGTTAAGGAATTTTGCCTCCCGCAACCCGAACTCGGAGGAAAATTGGGCGGTTATTGTTTTAGTTCGAGAAACAATATACAGTAGCCTGGGCCAACTGGTTATTGACGAGATCGGATATAATTCCAGGCCGAATTGCCATCCCCTCATGAGACAGGAGGGAATTAAAACCCGATCTCGATATTCTTCTTCGAGAGACTGTCATGGGGCTTCCGATTGAATTGATCTGGATCAGCTGCGCTTGTGCCCGCAGAGGCACTGGACCTCACCCACGGATTCTTGCCTCTACTGCTAGTCCGCTTGGGCTGGCCGCTCACTCCTTTCTTTCACTTTGGCATTGTCATCATGCGTTTTTCTCCTTTTACTTTTGTCCTCAGACCTAGCTATTTTTCTCCTGTCATGTTTCGTGCATAAATTGTGGGCTCATCCCTTTCTGACTTTTACATGTCTAAACATCTATTCATCATCGCTGATCAAATGCGCTGATGTAGTTGGCGAGGATGTGACTGTTGTAACTAGCATTTATTCATTCCAGCTATTGAAGCAACAAATTATTTTGTACAATAATTTGTCTGGTACGCATTATCATGATTCTTGTTTTTCACTTCACATTCCCAGCTGGATCAGCCTTTGTTTAAACTCAAATTGTTCATTGCTTGAAGAACCCTTCAATATGTGCATTCTTATGGAGCTCACTGTTCATCAGAAAATGTGTTCGAAAGGTTCCAGCACCAACCAATTCAGTTGCGATCATGAGCCCAATTACTAGGAACCGTTAGCAGTGGGTTATTCATTTATCGTTAATATTTGTCCTCCTATTTAATTTTGGAGTAGGTTAGTGATAATCAAAGGAACATCCTAATTCTCTTCACAGTAAGGAGTTTTATTTCAGTTTTTTCCCGCTGCAATTTTCTGCCACGATTTCTAAGCGATGAGTTTCCTATAAAGTTAGTAATTAGTTCAATCATATAAAACTATAATCGGATACTCATATCAGTTGTTGCATGTAAATAATCTTGAACTCAATGAACTTAATCTTTGTTTGTTTAGTTTCCGGTACATAGAAATTCAAGTGCAAAATTATTATTTAAGGCAAGTGAAGCTTGTGGCATTGAATACTGTTTTTCGGACAGTGAGGAAAATTTATATATAATTTTTTCGTATTCATTACTCGCGGAGCAAACTCCAGTGATAATAGTGTAAACCAAAAAATGGAAGTATCGGTTTTTAGATTTTCGGTTTTTTGGAAATTCTCCTCCACGATGTTTAAGTGATGAGGTTGGTGTTTACAGAACCAATCAGTAACTCAGAAAGGACGTTCTCCCATTGCCACGGGAATGAATGTCTCTTCACCAGATGTGTTCTAGTTTATTCAAAATATGTATCTTAACAACATTTATAGCCCCTAAATTTAGAAGCTTTACTTAGGGCTTTTGATTATATATTCTGGAAAGTGAAATCTAAGTGCTGAAGTACTGAAATTGACTTAAGATATAATAATTGCTGGAGGTATGAAATTGTATGCCCAATTCCCTCAGTATAAGGTAAAGTAATGAAGAGAAAATCGATTTCTTGCCTAAAACCAGTTTTTTTGGTTGAGATTGGTGACTTTTTCCTAATTGTTATCCCTGTCCTCCCTTCCCTCACATGTAGGATTGTAAGCAAACAGAATAAAAAGGAATAAATGAAATGAAAAAATATTAAAAAATACTCAGTTGGAATAGCAGTAAATAAATGAATTAAAGATTAAGAGAGAAATAAGTGGGTACTACAAGAGAAGAAAAAAAAACAATGAAAAATATAAAAAACCAGTGGATAAAACGTGTTTCAATACACAGTAAGAACGGGAATTTGAAGCAAGTCTCTGACTTATTCGAATTGCAAAATTGCGTTCAATTTTAAGAATATGTATATCATAGTTCATAGTCCGATGCATTTAGTATTGACCAAGTGGCTCTGCCCCTTGGCCGCTACGTAGCCCAAGCCCCAGGGTGCTGGGTTCACAAAGGCTGCTTCGCGGTTAGCGAGATTGTCGAAATCGCCCATTGGCAATTAATGAGCAAACAATTTTAATTGAATAACAAAACGATGTTTCACAGAAAAATTTCTTGCCAAACAATATACTAAATGACTTTTGCTTACTCTGAATTTTTTTGATTCCTTTTTTGGAAGTCGACCTTGACAGGGCCACACATGTATAGCTGTCTATGATGGAACAAAGGCCTCTGAAAGTAAAGACTCACTCTATTAAAACTCTGATCTTTGAACTCCCCTTCCTCACTCCTGCCCATCTACAGTCTTACTCTCCTTCCTCATCCTGTCCATCGAGGATCATAAAAATGAGTGCGCCTAACGAATCCAAATGAATCACATATACTTTTTCGAAGTAGCCCGAAGTGTACCTTTACGGAACCTACCGAATAAGGTACATGCGATCGGATCCTCCAACTTTATCGGTATACAAGGGTAATTTGACTTACATTTCAACGCTCTTTCTTTACTGCTAATGTAGGTGAACCGAGAACACTGTAATTGCTGTTTATTTTATTTGTAATTAAATTTTTAGAATGCGTCATTTATTAATATCTTGCCTGGGTTACTGAGCATAATCATTCGCAGAAAAAAGAGACAGTTTATGAATAACTGAAACTAACTTCTAAATTAATCTAACCTAACATTAAAGTCGCCAATGTACTCTTAAAGTCGTTAACATAATATTTAAGTCGCTGATGTAATATTAAAGTGGCTAATGTAATTTTAAAGTCGCTATTAAAATCTTCAAGTCGCAAACAAAAGCTCATCAGTCACGAGAAGTAAAATATATCAACAAAAGGAAAGGTTTGGAAATTTATTCAAATCACATAATAATAATAATAATTCTATAAATAAAGAAAAAAATTGGTCAGGATTTGAGCGCGCAACCTCCCCACCCGCTATCGGATATGCTTGTCACTCGGCCAAGATGAGAACCTTCCGGGGAGGTGAAATTCAACGGTATATGCCGATCGTACACTCGACAGCAGCGCGCCCTAAGAGGTAAATCTGTAAACTTCAAAAGTACGCCTGCCAAAAGGTATATACGATTAGGCAATTTCTCCCGTTAGTGATACCCCTTCAAAATGATTTAATTAGAAAAGAGAGGATTTTGGGGGAAAGGGGCGTAGAAGCAGGCAAAACCCAGAGGGGGGGGGGGGCGAAGAAAAATTCATGAAAACGTGTGATAACAATATTCCAAAAGGAGAAATTGCCGTGGCTCGGGTGAACAATTAATTGACGTGATTGGTTACCGAGCGAAACATATCAAGAAAATGACAAGACAAAAAAACTAACTGGCCATGGCGTTTCATCGTTTTCACCCTCATCTCACTTGCGTGTCAACGAACTGTGCTCGGCTGGTAGTGCATTCAGACGACCTGGTGCAGCCCGCAGGAAGCGAATGAACTGAGGAACGGACAAGGAGGATGACACAACGTGGACTGTTATGCAGGATGCGCAGCCCAGCGCGGCGCGGCGCCTGCTCACTGAGCGATGAGAGGGCATTAGGAGGGAATCAACTGGCGCACAGTGGAACGAGTCTTTGGAAGAAGTCGGACATTAAATTTTTGACAAAAATTCTAAAATTTTACGTTTACCTTGTCACAATTTTAATTTTAAAGGGTACTTTTTATCGAAAATTTTTACGAGAGAACCAACGAAACTAATTTTAAAACATCAACATTTTATATTAATGAAGAAATGCAATTTTGAAGTTTTAAATTTTGTCCGATTTCTCCCATTGATTCGTTCCACTGTGTGGCGTCCAGTAATCGCCTCCTAAGATCGAATATGAATACGAGCGTGTTAGGCATCTCATCATCGAACGTTATGGAATTGGACAGATAATCAATCGAGTTCTAAAATAGGTATCGCTTTTGCCAAATATGCCTCAAGTATCGAGAACTCAGAGCAGGCGCTGGACAAAAGGGTTTGGGTTCGCGAACGACGAGGGCGTTCGAAACAAAGGCCTCTTTATTCGCGAGCGAGGAGGTGATGCCAATGAAATCCTGAAAATCGGTGTTCGCTCTTGAGAATCCTCTCGACCCCTGGCAACGATAGGAGATTGCTTGTCTTCAGTCCTATACCCACATTTTGATTTTGAAAAAGTTGAACAATGCAGTTCCTCAAAGAAATTTCCTGTAAGTCTGTGTCCTCTTTTGCTCTGATGATGAAAAGTTTTTGAACTTCCAAGAAGGAAGGAATGCTGTCTCTGGAAACCTTGCCTTCTCCTCTTCTGAAAGTATGTTTTTAGTTTTCAATGTTGTCAACTCATTTGTGCTTCCTTGCAGGCAGAGGATGATCGCTTTCATATGGGAGGAGTGGCCAATTATCGATCCAATCTGGGCGGTGGAGGTTTTAGTCTCAAGTTTTAAGTCTCCTGTGCAAGTCTTTCAGTAACCATTCTAAATCCTCCCCGGTCTTAGGTAATGTCTCCTTTCCTCTTATTTATTTTTTTTTCTAAGCGTTATTCAGTGTTTAATCAGTATTTAAAATTCTGCTTGGTGAACACCCATGAAACTGAGGCTTTACAAAAAATTCAAGGAAGTAGTTTTTTCTCAGATGTTCCAAACCCCTGAGTCAATGAAATTGAAAGTCAAAGGAAATCGAACGGGTGGTCATTGTTTGGGCAACTCAACCAAATGATACATATGATATCGTAACATTGTTTGCTAAACTTACCTTATTTAAGCGCTAAACCTGGCATTTCATTTTTCTGGTAGCACTAAAGGAAATGATGAATCATTGAGTTTGGTTCAAAGGAGGTTCTCAAATTCTGGTTCAAAATTAAGAGGACAAGCACGATGTAAAATTTCTAAGAAAAAATTATGAGCCTGCCAATTTTTGTTTTTTTGGATTCAGTTAGGTCCTCTGCTGTCCCATAAAAAATTCCCCAAGATTCGGAAGTGAGGTACCCGATTTCGGGGGGAGAAGGGTCCCAAATGGCCCCAAAAATCAGTTTTTGCAAATTATCTTGAATTAAACGTAGAACAGGGACAAATGTCAGGACATCAATTCCGTTTCTGATAAAATTCCCTACAAGAATCATGTTCAATTTTTTTCATGAAACACCCCCCTCCCCTCCCACAACCCGATTCTTCTCCTAAAAATTACCGCTAAATGTCCTTTCTCGGCGGTTTCACGTGTATAACTCGAAAGAGGCAAAATTTTTGGAAACGACACTGTCATAATGTTTTTAAATTTTGAAGAGATATGGTCTGTACAGTTTTTTTTGTGGGACGCCTCTGGACCGTCCAAAAACGGTCGCAACTATGCGGAGTGTGACATACGCTGTCTCGCCTTATGAGGAGGCGGCGGTCGGGCTAATGGGTTATCTACTCTCTAATCGACGCCGCGAAGTGATTGAGTGTAAAATGGGGGAAGTTAGTTGTTTTATTTTGGTTTCTGATGTCTAATTGCTTGTGAAGAAAATGTACCTTTAACCAACACCAATCTTGCGGCCCTCGACACGTAAGGCGAATGCTTAACCTTTGCACCACCAGTGCCCAGAGATTCGCGCGCCGAAAGGCGGGGTACTTATCGATGAAAGGTGTTTTAGGGCGCTTCCTATCTGAATTTCCTCAGCTCTGCAATTTTTTGCTCATCGAAGGATTGGAGGGTACATATATTTTACGGAATTTACCATGATTCGGCCATTTCTGGTCTCCTCTTTCTTCTTATACCGGCCTAAACATGGATTTGAACTTTGAGGGCAAATTTTGCCGAAAAATCCGCATTTTATGGCGCAAAAACCGCACTGTTTACTGCAAAACCCGCATTTTTTGCCAAAATCGGCCCTCAGAGTTCGGCAACTTGATCGGTGAAATCTATGAGCGAACAGCAGGAAGTGAAAATCGATATACTCCACAGCACGGATAAGGCTATGTCTTGTCTTATCTTGCTGATAAAGCCAGTAAAAGTTTCACCAATCAGGCTGCCTACCATGTTTAGGCCAGTATTGGTAGACCCAAATAGAGACCGGAAAGGACCAAATTATGATGAATTCCATAGATCCGAGAAAAGATCCGAGGATACCTTACGGGCAACCAAAATGGACTTTTGGCGAAGGTCTGCAGGGATCTCGCGGAGAGAGCGCGTTCGTAATGAACGAGTGCGTGGAATAATGGGAGTTGAGGAAGATATTGTGCCGATATCAAAACCAGGCAGCTGGTTTGGTATGGACATGTGCAGAGAATGGCAGATAGTAGGTTGCCCAGAAAGGTATTTGATTGGGTTCCTCCCGGAAGAAGGCGGCGTGGACGTCCAGTTAAAGGTTGGCGGAAGGGAGTGGAGGGGGAGATCAGACGGTGTAATCTGCCCGATGATTTGTGGGAGGATCGATTCTGATGGCGATTTGGAGCCGCAGAGCGCTTTAGTGCGCTGAGATAGCGCGCTTGATAGCGGCTTGATATATATATATTTATATGATGAATTCCATAAAACATATACCTTCAATGAGCAAAAAATTGTAGAGTTGAGGAGATTCAGTTAGGATGGGCCCAAAAACAGCCCTTATCGGTACCCCTCCTTTGTCGTGTCCTTAATATTGTTCTTAATATTCCATTTGTGTATTTTTGAAAAGTTTTTGGAAAGATTTTGCGAGTCTATGTGTTATAAGTGAAGAACATTCGCTGTTCAAGTGCACCTTTACTCTATCTTCATTGTTAACCGTTTCGAAATCGATTGAGGTAATTTCGAATCCTCTTGTTTCAAGTCAGTAACTCACTCGGGCTGGCTATGCCCCTCAACTTTTTGGCTATCAAGTATGTAGTTCCTCAACTAGTTTCAAAACAAGCCTACAGGAACTTGAAAACAATCTAAAATTATCAAAATGAGCATGAATTTCCATGGTAGAAAAAATCAGAAAGATCGAGAACTTTTATCTAGGCTTCTCTAGTACCCCCAAATGCTCTCACGAAAGTTTCTAATCGAGGACTTTCGATTAAAGGGTGGGTCCTGACGTTAAAAGAACTGTAAACTTTACTAAACATCGAGGAGGAACTATCTACTTTTTCACCCATAAAATCAAAAGTCCTAGTGTCAACAGAAGTGGCTTTTGACTTTGCTTTAAAACTACACATATACTTGTTTTGTGGTATAGATGCCGGACCCGATTTTTTGAAGAACCAGCGAAAAAACATAAAAACAAACGTGACAAGGTCAAGGTCATCGAAACCTTTTAGGTGAGGTCCACTTTATTAATCGAGTGTGGCAAAAGCTCGCAATGCTCATGACTTAGATAATAAAGTTATGATTCGTTGAGGCATTTGCAGGTGAAGGACACTATCATCACACCTACAATTGAGATTTCAAGATTGTTAGTGCATATTGATCATGATACATCTCTAGGAATCCCTAAAGTCAGAAGAATCATCGCAAGTATGGAAGAAATTTTTTCGTACATTGAAAATTCATCAGAATGCCAATTTGAATTTATAGAACTTTTAGAGAAAGAGAAAAAATGTATTCCTGCCGAAAAGACCATTACTAAGCACCATACAGGGTGTCCCAAAAGTCTGTACCCTCCTCGTAACTTTTGAACGGTTAGAGATAGAAAAACGAAACTTTGGGAATGTTTCTATCTTGAAGGGGTCCATCTTCTAAGGGGGTCAACATTTTTGTCCCCCCCCTCAGGGGGGGGGGCGCGGGGGCCCCCAACTTTTCTTTTTCAAATGGTAACCCCTATCTTGTGATACATCATTAGAAAGAGCATAAGAAACTAAGAATTTTGGCGCAAACCGCAAATCAATATCTTGATTTTTGACAGAGTTATGATTGGTCAAAGGTCAAATTTGACCTATTTTCAGAAAATCATATCTCCAGTTCAAATCATCGTAAAGAAAAAAATAAAACGGGAAAATTCACCAAATTGTAAGCACTTTCAAGTAAAAATCACAGAAATTAATTCAAACTAATTTTAAGGGGGGGTTTCGGACCCCCAAATACGTCATTTTAAAGGTCATACGATATTCTCGCGAAATGAGCCAATTTCCCCTTACTTTTCCCCAACATTATATTAGTAAGTTCAAAATTAGTTCAACATTGCGTTTTCAAGTCCCCAAATTTCGAGCAAAGTTCAAAAAACGAAATTTAAGGTGATTCAATTCAACCATTTAAATTTCATTTTTTTTAAAAACTTTGTTCGAAATTTGGGGACTTGAAAACGCAATGTTGAACTAATTTTGAACTTACTAATATAATGTTGAGGAAAAGTAAGGGGAAATTGGCTCATTTCGCGAGAATATCGTATGACCTTTAAAATGACGTATTTGGGGGTCCGAAACCCCCCCTTAAAATTAGTTTGAATTAATTTCTGTGATTTTTACTTGAAAGTGCTTACAATTTGGTAAATTTTCCCGTTTCATTTTTTTCTTTACGATGATTTGAACTGGAGATATGATTTTCTGAAAATAGGTCAAATTTGACCTTTGACCAATCATAACTCTGTCAAAAATCAAGATATTGATTTGCGGTTTGCGCCAAAATTCTTAGTTTCTTATGCTCTTTCTAATGATGTATCACAAGATAGGGGTTACCATTTGAAAAAGAAAAGTTGGGGGCCCCCGCGCCCCCCCTGAGGGGGGGGACAAAAATGTTGACCCCCTTAGAAGATGGACCCCTTTAAGATAGAAACATTCCCAAAGTTTCGTTTTTTTATCTCCAACCGTTCAAAAGTTACGGGGGGGGGGGGTACGGACTTTTGGGACACCCTGTATATATTATAATTTCGTCTAGTCAAGGCAAAGGTACGTTCATATGCTTTGAAAATAGGTGACGAATTTTGAACCGCTGCCTGGTACTCCAGTCAAAAGAAGTCGAGTCTAAAGATTGTCTCAGAATTTTCTTATAAGCAGCAAAAATAAGTCTGGTGAAGTTTGTCACATACCTCCCATCGATTTATTTCTTGATTTTTCCTCTTCCTCATTTCCTCAATTTATAAATCAAGTTTACAATAATATTTGTTTGATATCATATATTCTATGATATTTATTGAATAAATACTTTTGTCCGTAACCAAGATAATAAAACTTACTTTTTAGCACCAATTAATGAGAATTATAAGGACCGGTAGTCCAACCGCCACGCCGGGTGTGAGCCTCCTCACGAGGCGAGACGGCGCATGTCGCACTCCGCATAGTTGCGGCCATTTTTGGAAGGTCCCAAGGCGTCCCACAGAAAAAACTGGAAAGACCATTTCTCTTCTACATTTAATGAGGAGAAACATTATGACAGTACACATCCTTTTTGAAAACTTTGCCGCTTTCGAGTTACACACATGAGCATGTTGGTGAATGGAGCAGCCCATATTTCTAAGGGAACCAAGCAAAAATAAAACATTTTGATTCCACCAATTCTGTAAAGAGCTTCACCAGTTCTTTATTTTGGTAGATTGCCATTGCATCAATGTAACCCTCTAAAATTTCAT